ATCCTACATAAAAGCCTTGCAACTATCATAAAACCTTGAGTAAGCACCCTCCCTTCCTCTTTTACTTTTCTTTTTATCTGTTCTCCTCAACAGAATCCTGAAGCAGTGGTTTTTAGGAACCCAAGTTCGGAGAGTTATTAATATGTGCACAATTTCTTAGTACTGTCACGGCCGCTGGATAAAAAACAATGTGGTACTGTTATGACTCACAGTCGTTGACACCCTATGAGAAGTCTACCAGGAATGTGTTCCTATGACCCAACACACCTGGATCTTCCAACAGAACAAACTCCCAGCAGCGGGAAGTGCCACAAACGGAAAAGACTGTTGCAAGTTCTGACGCACAGTGAGCCAATGTCCAGGCCGATTTTTCCTCCACAATGGCTTGTCTGGGGCAGGCTACGCTGCTGAACGGCCTCGTAGGTCTTGACAAGAGTGATTAAGTCGACGTAAATCCTTTTATACCCTTGAAACGATAGCCGGCGGCAGCAACTCATCCATCAGCTTGTCCCTATGGACCCCGCCTTGAGCGTTACTGATTGGAGGAACTTTGTGTCAGTGCATTCAACGACTTATCTGTGACTGTGTTATTGCCTGGTGCCATGGTGGGTGGTGTTGTGTGTGTGACTGGGTTCAATCAAGAAGGATAAGTTCGACTGAGGGGTAAAAACGACGGTGCTAAGTGGGAGAAGACGCTCTGCACCTAGGTTTAACGGTCTACTCACCACACTTGTGGCTTTCGGGCCTCGGATTAACAGGCTTATTCACCACGCTTGTGGCCCTTGAACTGTTACCTTTTTATGATGTAAATAGTTTTATAAGAAGGGTCAGTAAACCAGTTTGTTTTTTGTTTTCCCAACTTGTTAGCATCGCTTCCTCAATCTAGAGACTCGCCTTGCTACCAAAAGAGTTTGGTCTGACACAATCCTAACGTCTCAACAACAGATGTCAGCGGAAATGTGGCGGTAAATCTTGGGCACAGTTGTACTTTTATAGTGTGATGCGTCAGGGTTGCATTCTGAGTTTTTACAAATTATCAGAACGTTTGAAGAGCTTCATTTCCCGTTGTCATAGCACCTGAAAATTCAAGCAAAGATTCCCTCTAATTCAGTAAAAAGAGTAAATGCATGTACGATATTCAATAAGTTTATTGTTCGATGTCGCCCACGCCCCCACAAGCTCTTGCTTGACAAAAAGTGACAGGCATTCCTCAATCATTTTATGGCTTTTCGAGAAATGATATTTCAAATACTTTTTATTTTTTCTTGCTTTTTATGTATACATGAGCAGCGTTATGGTGTTAGCTTAAGTTTTGTTCTCATTGATATCCATGATTTTGTTCAAACTGCTCATCTGTGCACTGAACTTCAAAAGATATTATTACCTGAAGGGGGTGAAGGAGACATGAAATAGTGAAAGAAAAATAGCTAGGGCATGGTGTTCAATCAGCAGAATTATATAAAAGAGCTGAGGAGTGCCAAGTTAGCACGTTCCACTGTGCACAGCCAAGGTTTAAAGAAAAGAACAGTGTTTGTTTGTCAGGATGTCAAGCAAAGAAAACAAAATTTTACTCATGGCTGTCTTTTGTGTGTTCCTTGGCGGCAAGAGACATAGCAGTTTACATGTGAATTAATGTTAGTTTATCAATATTTAAGACACTTCTAAAGCTTGATGCAGTGGATATTTGACGAAGAATTTCATATGCAGAAGTACACTGGATATATGTGAACTAAATCGAGAGTGTAAACAAAGAGGGACCGGAGGCTACTTAGATTCATCAGAGATACAGTAGACAACGTGTACCTTGTCACTTAAGTTCATTGGATGATAATACTAAAGCCAAGGCAGGTAACAAAATATTTGAGAAATGTGTTCTCTACGGACCACGCACACCTGAAATGTGAAATGCCTCAGGTACTTGTATTTGGCAGTATATTTGTGGATGTGAAGTTCCTCAAGTTCTCTGCTTGTCAGCATTGTCAACATCTAATGTCCCGATGTGTTTTGTAGTCATGGTGCATCATATATGGGTATGCACCACTAAAATTGGGATAACCCCACTTCTCGCCACTGGTCCATGAAAACTAAGAAAAGGCAACAATTGGCCCAAAAAATAGCCAGCATCATTTGTTATCATCATCATTATCATTATCAGCCTGACTACGCCCACTGCAGGACAAGGGCCTCTCCCACGTTCCGCCAGTCAGCTCGGTCCTGTGCTTGCTGCTGCCGCTTTACACCCGCAAACTTCCCAATCTCATCTCCCTACCTAACTTTCTGTCTCCCCTAACTCGCTTGCCTTCTCTGGGAATCCCGTCAGTTACCCTTAATGACAAGCGGTTATCCTGCCTATACGCTACATGCCCAGCCCATGTCCATTTGTTCTTCTTCATTTCAACTATGATATCATTAACCCCGGTTTTTTCCCTGATCCACTCTGCTCTCTTCTTGTCTCTTAAAGTTACACCTATCATTTTCCTTTCCATCGCTCACTGCGTCATCCTCAACTTAATAAGAGCCCTCTTTTTATGGCTTTAGGTTTCTGCTCCATAGGTAATCGGCAAGACGCATGTGTTGTGTATGTTCCCCTTGAGAGATAGTGCCAATCTACCAGTCATGATTTGAGAATGCTTGCCGAATGTACTACACCCCATTCTTATTCTTCTAGTTGTTTCAATCTTATGGTTCGGCTCCGCGGTTACTACCTGTCCTCAGTAGACATACTTTTTTACAACTTCAAGTGGACTGCTACCTATATTGAAGTGCTGAACCTCTTCCTAGGTAGCTTAAAGGGGCCCTGCAACAATTTTTGAGTATAGTCAGATAATGCTGCCGATCGATAGTAAAGGCTTCCGACAACACGCGAGCCAAATATTATAGCACAGCACACGGTCTGGAATTCGCAATGAATTATCAAAGTCAGCTAAAAATTGCATTCTCTTCTCTCGACAAATCACGTAAGACACTCAAAAACTACGCCTAAAAAGCCCATCTATCAGCCATAGGCTGATTTGAACATGGCGCGCTCGGTCGTTACAGCGATCACCACGGGAGGCCATGACTTGCTCACGCGTGCGCGTGCGATCACACTAAAAAAGCCGCGCATTTGAAGAAAAAAAAAAAAGTGCTCAAGGCCACGAGGGGCACCTGACGTATTTTCTTTGTGCCTGCCATCCCTCCCTGCCTAGCTTCCGGCACTTTCGTCTGGACAAGAGAAGAGAGTGCAATTGCAGCATGCGACAAACCTTTGTAACTCTACTCGCACTGGACCGATTCTTAAAAGTTTTGCGGCGTGGAATTCGTGAGGCCATAAGCTCTTCCAGTAAATTCTTTCTATGGCTACTTGAAAAAGTGGTTCAGGGCCAAGCGGTCACTTTCAGTTAGATGTTGACTGCATTTGTTTTTGTGGAGTTCGAATAGTTTCAATAGCAAATATTCTTGTGCAAATTGAATCGAATATCAAACACTATTTGAAAATTGTTTGATATTTTAAATACTTGCACAATGTGCGTAATTCTGCCCTAAACTGTCCTGTTTCTATTCGGGAGTTTTGTACTTTCTCGAGAAAGGAATCTACCTGGTCTTGCACATTTTGTTTAGTAAAGCTAGGTTTTAGGGCAACTTGAATTTGTTACTTCCCTAAGCAGTCCTTTTTCGATCCGTGAGTTTTGTACTTTCTCGAAAAAGGAATCTGCCTGGTCTTGCACATTTGTTTAGTAAAGCTAGGTTTTAGGGCATCTTGAATTTTGTTACTTCTCTATACTCCTATTAATAGTAAGTGTTGCTGTGTTTAACTGAGCAGCTTGTGTGGCAATTATCTGCTGTTGCGCACCTGCATGAAATAACAAGGGAAGTAAGAGCTCTTGTTTAAAATCCTTGTTCACTAAACGGTAAATTTTGTGGAAACCAAAATGTTAATAATTTCGCCATTCACTAGAATGCAACAGCCCTGTGCGTAAACTATGAGGGTCTAGATGTGATGTGATGTACTTTAGGGGTTGGGATTCTGCTGTTGTGTTTCTAGTAAAGATTTACTTCCCAAACGAACTAAATATCCCCGATTTCTTGATTTTCTGCATTTATTGAGTCGGTGCAGTTGTCAACGCAAGTTTACAGACTGAGCAAGTGGAAGCTAAATTGCCTTTCTGTGCCACCTAAAGGTGCGCCATCCAGAGTCGACCGTAGTTCTGGGCCAGAAATGGGTCTTCTTGTTATACATTGGTATATTAGTCCTCAACTGCCGTGCAGCACTTTGTTAGTTGGCCGATTTCGTGCAATCCGCTCATCTGTAGCATGAGCTTCACACTTTTACAGAATCAAAGCCACCACAGAACTCTTTGAACGGTATGCTGTTGGGTATATATCACTTTGTGATGAAAATTGCGACTGATAACAGTTATGCTGACAAAGTGCTCTCAAGACAGAAACATGCAGTCGCGGCTGCTGAAGAGCACATTGTGTTGACAAGTGAAAGGTTTAAAATATTTGTGCCTAGTGAGAAAATAGCCTGGCAGTCGATTAAGGGATAATTCATTCCTAGGTGTAGCGCTGCTGCGATTGCCACTTAGTGGAAATATTGTGAAAAGACTGTTTGCCACATGCTCATGGGATCCATAAACTTTTGTCGTTGACTGTGCATATGGTTACTGTAGTGATAAACAGCATGCTTAGAATATGTAATACTGTTTTAAAGCATTAACAATAACTTTTAGTTTTTGTAATTGCAGCCAAATCATATTATAACTAGATAACTAGTTGCATTTGACACAAAAATGAGTTCGGTGTATTAGAAAATTCATTATAAAGGTATATTTGTACCACTCTATGAATGGCAGAACTGTTCTTCATTTACTTAATTATAAGAGATGACTCGATATAAACATATATCTTTAACATTGTCTATGACAGGGCTATTCATTGTTTGCTTCGTTACGAGCAGTAATTCATTATGGCCAGTAGATTGCTATATTTTGGTTTCACTACATTCTCTTGCACTGCAGGCCTCACTGCTTTGGTGGCAGGAGCTGCTGAGTCATGGCTGCCAACATCTGGCAGGATGCGCTGAACGCTGGTAAGCGTTGTTTCGTTTAGGTCTATGCACAAGTTTTTACCTCACTTGCAGTTTTTCGCGTGGTTTGCTGCTTGTCTCTTGGCACACTGGCCTCACCATGCTGTCGCTTGATTGCACCTTTACGTGTAACTCTTTACGTGTAATGTCTGTTGGCCAAGTTTGAAGTTTTATGTTCTTAATACCTGCGTGTGTGTACTTGTACTTTTTGTCTTACTTTTCTCCTGTGCTGCACTCTGTGGCCTCGCGTGCTGTACTTGGAAGTGGCACTAATGCTTTCGCCGCTCTGCACTTTGTCTCACACCAGTTACTGCACAAGGTTGGTGTATTTTCATACTATACTGCTGCCACCAGTGCATTTTCTTGGTCTGTTCAGAATTTGACTGTTGTTAGTTTCATGCAGCATAATTAAAGAGCCTAGCAGTATGTCAAAGATTAAAGACTAAAAGAATTAGTACTGCATCCACTTAAAGTCGTTGCAGTCTTTTCACTTCCCGCATATAACAACTTTGCATGTTTGTGTGGGCACTTTCACCTCTTTGTGGTCTATTTGCTTCAATTCCGCAGTTCCCACATTTTGGTGCAGTGTTTTCACCTGTTTGTTTTTGGTTCTGCATTTCACTTATTTTTCAAGTGCACATTATATTATTGCATTAACAGTAGATATTAAGACTACAATTATTTGAAATAAATGTGGATAAGTTATGATTGGCTCATTACGTACAGTTACTGGATGAAGGGCAAGATAATTGAGGTATCAATTCACTGTCAGAGAAATCGCATATCTGCAAGAATAACACTTTATGAACAGCTTGTAAAGCTTTTGTCATTAATCTTTATCATGTGCCTTTCTGTTTTTTATCTGCCACCTCAGCACCTATGTTGTGTGCCTTTTTCTAGGTGTCCCATTTGTGTGCTGTTTGAAGGTGTACAGGTTTCAGCAAAAGTGCACAGACCACAAGATCATGTGGGAGAATGTATCGAAGCGCCATCTGACGCGGTGCTTTCTGTCAAGAGTACCACTGAGGCAGCAGTGCCCATGGGCGTCCCGTAATGTCAGGTGGCCTCTTGAGTTGCTTTGTCTGACGTTATGGCGCTCGTAGACAGAACGTCAATTGAGTGTCTCTCATTGCTCCATCACATCTGTGCTTTTATTTTACGTAAGGGCTGCAGTGGGGACAGGCTTTGAGCGCCTGGCATGCATAGTTTTTTACACCAGTTAATTAGCTGCACTAAGCATAGCTAGCATTGTATAACCAAATACTAGTATAAACAAAGTTTTGATGCAATGTGGAGTAACCAGAAAACTCAGCACAGCTTTAGTTTGCTGTAGTTAGCCAAGTTAAGATGAGCCTAGTTGAGTCAAGGTAAGCGTAACCAAATATCATTAAACAAAGTTGAGCATAGTATCTCTTTATTTAGTTGAGTATAATCGAGTCTAAGTTAGCCAAACCTAATTGAGGCCATTTAATTAATTCAAGTCAAATTCCCCATGAGCCCTTGGTAACCAAGGTTGATGACATGCTAATTACTCCTGTCCTAGCTGACCCTAACTAAGCTCAGTTGAGTTCAATCAGTGATGATAAAGACTAGGCATAATTGGAACTAATTAGGTAGTGTAACATCTAACCTCATGCACCCGAGGTACTTGCATATCATTTGATAAAACTATGCCTGTTAAGTGGAGACAAAATAAGTGTAGGCACATGTGATTAAACATAGTGTAACGTGAGATTACCTAACACCACCCGAACTAATCTCAAATAGTTCAAGCAATTGTAGTCAAATTCTCAGTAAAGCTAGTGAAGCCACCCTCACAAAGATACTAGTTAGCAGTGACCCTGTTGATACTAATCAAATTCAATTAAGTGTAATTAGTACTATTTAGACTTAGCTTAACTTAATTAGGATCAACTTGGTCAACGGCAATCAATATCTTAGTAAGCATGGCTGCGAGAGCCCAGATGCTTCAGTGGAGCTCTTGACAGCAAGCGTTGTAATGTCAGATGGTGCATCGATGCATTCTGCCACGGGATCTCGTGGTGTGTGTACTTTTGCTCACACTTGCACATGGCTGTAGGGGAGCACAGGCGTGTCGCGATACCCCTCCCAGGCCATGTCCCCAGCTGAGTGTCATGATGGCTGTTTTTCCAGAGCGTGCAGCCAGCGCGTACGAGAGAGCACTAGACGAAGAAAGTGTGCTAGTTGCCCTGGGTGATATGAAGGCGTCACCCAACGGAGATGGCACTGCCCCCCTGGTGGATGAGAGTGGCTGCGTCTATCTCAGTGGCTCCAGGCGCAAGGTGGACTTTGTGTTGGCCTACTCTCCGGCCAAACACCAGGCCATCCGGGATATTTTCGAGGAGGAGCTCAGCAAGGCAGGCCTGGTGCTCGAGCACGTCCCACAGGCAAGTCTGTGTGATGAGCACGCCATTGTGAATGATGGCTGCAGTTGTCAATTTTCAGTTTTATATATAGTAGTTTGAAGAGCATTAAGTTTGGCTAGTTGGTTGATTTTCATTCCCCCCAACCCCCAAATTTTGATGGTGAGGGGTGCTTTGGCAAAAAAATAATAAAAATTAGTGTTATACTGATATAGTAAAGAACTTCAGCGGAGTGCCCCTTCCAATATACACACAGTCGCACACACACACATAGTGTAGACCCCTTATAACGTAACTGCTTATAGGGCAGGAATGATTACAATGCGGTTTTTTTAGACTCCAATAGAACCGCATGTATATGCATACCGCTTATTGTGTAGTTCCTTAAAATGAGAGACCGATTATGATGTGGTTGCCAGAAAATCTTCGTAACAATCGCAGTAGCGAATGCGCATGTGAAAGGAGGTCCGCTGAGTGCACTGTAGGAGACGAGTAACGAGGTTGTTACGGAGGCGATGCGGAGTAAACAAACGAAGGGCGGAGGAAAGAAAAGGAAAAACAAAGTCACAGCTTTGCCTCAAAGGCGAAGCAATGAACGCGATAGCAACAAATTAGAAGATCACGCGTAGAATGGAAAACAGATCAAAACGTGCCCCGCGTTTCTCACACAGAAATGATGCACAAAATGTACTCACAGGTACGGATGCATGCTTATCCTGAACGTCATCAGAATAAGCATCTCAATTGTTACTTTGCTGTATCTGAAAAGCGCACTCTTTTCTCAAACAGAGACTGCAATGACTGCAGTGGCCTTTGTGCGCCCGGTAACTACAGCAGAGTCGTTCCAGGTAAAGCCGAAGGCCAGCCAAGACGTACGATCCTTTCCTCCTCCTTACCATGAGATAAGGGCACGCAAGCATAGAGTTAAGGGCGCGTGAGGGAGCGTCGCGCCCATTTTGTAAGCGTTTTAAAGTACGTGTGGGAGATTAAAGCGCGGGCCGCCGCGCGATGTGGTGACGCGTGCTCATTGCACTATCTTGCTGGTAGTGCTGAAAACACCATTCCGCCCGAGATGCCCTTCAGCAGCGGTGTGTGGTATATATTGTCATGGTGTGAGAGTAGGCTGGGGGTAGAAATATATTTACAGATTGTACACGGAGTACACAGTGTCCTTGAACTAAGATGGCGGAGTGGCAACAACAACATGAGCTTTTGTTCAATCGTCATCTTTGTCGCCTTTATGGTGCATTCGGTGATGTTAATGATGACTTGTATCATATAGCCGTCGCCGGTGAAAGCGCCGTCTCGGTGCATAAGAAAGCATGCGATCCTGGGCTGAGAAGTACGGCTTAAGGCGGGAGACGTGTACAATATCAATGGACGGCAGAGACGATGAGGATGAAGTGTCCGAGGAGGCGATGTCATAGGTGACCTCTGTCAGTGGGCGCAAGACTTTGTAAGGCCCGTTGTAGCGAGCGAGGAGCTTCGAGGACAGGCTGACGTGACAGGAGGGAGTCCAGAGCAAGACCAACGATCCTGGGGAGTAAGAAACAGCTCTATGACGGCTGTCGTAGCGTTCCCTTTGCGATAGCTGCGAGGCAGAAAGGCGATCCCGGGCAATCTGGCGGGCCGCTCGAGCCCGAGTAGTTGCATCGTGAGCGTACTCGGTAGGAGTGTCAGTATGCGACGGCAGAAGAGTGTCAAAAGGCAACGTGGAGTGATGGCCGTACAAGAGATAAAAAGGAGAAAAGCCAGCGGTGTCTTGTCGTGACGAGTTGTAGGCAAACATCACGTAAGGCATAGTGGCATCTAAATCATGATGATCTGCGGAGACATACATAGCTAGCATTGTCGTCAGTGTGCGGTTAAGGCACTCAATAAGTCCATTTGTTTGCGGGAGGTAGGCAGTGATGAGTTTATGACGGGTGGAACACGAGCGAAGAATGTTGTCCACGACCTTGGAGAGAAATGAACGGCCACGGTCGGTCAGCAGTTGACGCGGGGCTCCATGGTGGAGAATAACGTCATGAAGGAGAAAGTCCGCAACATCAGCAGCACAGCCTGCTGGTAGCGCTCGTGTGATGGCAAAGCGTGTCGCGTAGTCTGTTGCCACCATTACCAACTTATTCCCACTCAGAGACGTTGTAAATGGTTCAATGAGATCGAGGCTGACGCGGTAGAACGGGTCTGTTGGAATGTCGATAGGCTGAAGTGGGCCAGGTGGTGCCAATGAAGGATGCCTGCGGTGCTGGCAAGACTCACAAGATGCAACGTATCGGCGCACAGAGCGGTAAAGGCCGGGCCAGAAGAATCGACGCCGTACGCGATGATACGTGCGGGCTGCTTTGAGATGTGCAGCAGTTGGGGCATCATGAAGTTGTTCGAGCACAGTAGAACGGAGTGTTGCAGGAACTACCAAAAGAAGTTCTGAGCCTTCAGTGCTTAAAGCACCGATAGAGAATTCTGTCATGAAGCGTGAACAGGCGAAGGGAAGAATCTGAGGTGTCAGAAGCTGACCACAATTAGCATGATAGACCGCAAATTGGCATCACTGAGTTGTTTGCTACGTATGTCCGCGAAATCAGAAATGGCGAAGACACAGGCATCAGAATCGTGCGCTGACAGGTCAGGGGGATCGACGGGATGGCGAGATAGACAGTCAGCATCCCGGTGCATTCGGCCAGACCTGTAGGTCACGTCAAAGCTATATTCCTGCAGCTTTAAAGCCCAACGACTCAGGCGACCAGAAGGATCTTTGAGGGAAGACAACCTGCACAGGGCATGGTGATCCGTGATGACCGGAAAGGGGCGGCCGAACAAGTATGGTAGGAATTTTCCAACTGCCCATACAAGAGCGAGGCACTCGCGCTCAGTGATGGAAAACTTGCACTCGGATGGGGAGAGGAGGCGACTTGGGTAGGCGATTACACGATTTGGCCTTGTTGCCGCTGGGCGAGGACAGAGCCTATACTGTGTCCGCTGGCGTCGGTGCGAACTTCAGTTGGCGATGAAGGATCGAAATGACCTAAGATGGGTGGGGAAGTGAGCAACGCAGTAAGTCAGCGAAACGAATTGGCTTGCTGGGGACCCCAAGAAAACGGCGTGTCCTTCTTCAGTAGCTGTCTCAAAGGATGAGCAAAACGTCGGAAATAGAAACAGAGGCCCGCACCTCCACCAAAATGTCACGGGGTGAGAGTTGGCAGAGGATAGAAATATATTTACAGATGGTACACGGAGTACACAGTGTCCTTGAACCAAGATGGCGGAGTGGCAACAACAACACGAGCTTTTGTTCAATCGTCATCTTCGTCACCTTTATGGTGCATTCGTTGATGTTAATGATGACTTGTATCAATATAAATAGCTTTCCGTTTGAATGGTGAAGGACGTGCACCTCGGTGGCTTAGTGTTCAACGCCTCGCTTTCAAGACGCAGCAATCCCACGTTTGATTTTGCGCGCCGGAGTCACTTCATGGATTTTTTTCTTTTCCGCATTTTCACACACACACACACACACACACACACACACACACACACACACACACACACACACAAACACACACACATGTGCGCACGTATGCACGCACATGCTCACACACACACGGTCAAGTAGATCCTCTGTGAGCAGTCGCAACGTGGTTTATTTCGACGTTTCGGCCTAGAGTCTGGTCTTCATCTGGATTCCTGATGAAGGCCAGACTCTATGCCGAAACGTCGAAATAAACCACGTTGTGACCGCTCACGAAGGATCTACTTGACTGCTTGCAACGCTACGGCCACTCAACCACCATGCCTATATATATATATGTGTGTGTGTGTGTGTGTGTGTGTGCGTGCGTGCGTGCGTGCGTGTGTGTGTGTGTGTGTGTGTGTGTGTGTGTACACACACACAGACACACACACACACATATATGCGGTGAGGGACGTCGACGTCGACGCCGGTGTCAAAATACAGCCGAGAGTGTCCTGTTCATATAATTGCTATCGCAATAAAAAGACCCTTGCACACTGCGCGAACTCGTTGAGGGTGGTTGCCTTGGCGACGGATCAAACGAGGGATGAGCCTTTGCTCTGGCTCCGATGCAGATTAGCGTTGCTAACCTGGCTCAATCCGGCCGCGCATGGCTCAACATGGCACGTGCGATCCCGTCCTTGTCAACTGTGCTTAACAGTTTCCTGTCGGGAAAAGCATCGTCGTTATGGTGCGTGCTATAGATATCGCGTTTGCTACCTCGTCCGTAAATTTAAAACCTTTTGCGGCTTTGTGACACGAGTTTTTGTCTTTGCTGCCAGCGCGCTGTTTTACGTATAATCTTGGCGAGTTTTCGTCATTGCTGATTTTCCGGCCGGGAAAACAAACTTCCTATGACTCTCGCTATTCTTGATTCAGTGCTTGAGTGTGGTCTTTTTGATGCCGAATCTTCATGTCTTGGACAAACTTCCTGTGACGACGTACCAAACGGCAGGCTTTTTCTTTTAAAACATTCAGTGCAACTGGTAAGAGCTAGCCACATCTGCAAATATGCACACTGCGCCTCAAGGGGATGTGGACCCTGCGGCATTTTTCTCAAGTTTTGTAGAAGCATTTATGCAAACTCTTGTGTCTGGTTATTCATGCCCTGTGTTTTTAAAAAAGGGAGCACAAATAACCATGCCATAAATTTTAGTGAAAGATACAACATACGATAAAACTACATGCTTACACATCACTTACACAACTCTCGTAGGAGGTTCCACATGAATTCTTTCCTTTTGTTACATTGATGATTCGGGTTACCATGGTTGTTCATGCAGAAAATGTTAAACAAAACAAAGGGAATGAAGTTAATTCACTGCGTTTACACATTTTCAACTCATAATTTCTCTTTAGTTTGTGTAATGAGCTGTATAATACGCCTTGCAGAATCCGAGTGGCCTGTGCTTTGTGAAGATCCATGCACCTTGGGAAGTGCTGAGCTGCTTTGCTGAGATCATGCGCCTCAAGATGCCCGTCAAGGAGGTACTGCAGCATTGACTGCGTTGTTTCATGCTACGCAAAGGTGGTGGGAACACGTGCTAGTATTTCGACGTTTAGATGAGCGGATGATGGTTCCAATTTGTCAGTCTTGCTTGCTGTTAAAATCCTGGCAACTGCTATGTTTTGGTGAACGTAAGGTTGCGGGTCCAGTTTTCAGATGCTGAAACCACACGTTGATATGGACGTAATAACACCTGTATATATGCTCAGGTTTACACGTGTGCTAAATATAATCCCTGGTCGTCAAAATTAGTTTAAAAACCTCCTATTGCATTTGCTCTTATACAGTTTCCCGTACCCACGAAACAACTTCGCACTTTTTTTTAAACTTCTTATTGCTATTAATCCCTTGACACACATTATGGGCACAAAAACAGTCATGATGCGACACTTAACTATACAATAATTTGTCAATATTGCCCTTATTTGTTTGTGAAAAACATTAACCCATTTGCGACCGTTGACAAGTGTAGTCGTCATGAGATTTCCTAACAAAGTGACCGATCTCGTCACAAGATTTTCTAACAAAATGACTTACTGGTCCCACACTAAACTGATGAAAACTGCACTAATGTATTTATGTTTATGCTAGATGACTGCACTGGATGAGGTGGGAACATTCCTGATTCAACTTTTATTTTATTGCCAGTTTTCGGTTACTTTTATGCGGTAAAGTCACCTTTGAGTTATGTTTTTGTAGACGATTAGTGGAACAAAAAAAACACCATTGAATTTTCCAAAAGGCATCGCTTTATGCAGAAAAGAAAGCTCACTGATTGAGCGGAAAGAATTTTGCACATCTTTTTTTTTTTTTTTTTGTCGTGAAAGGTTTAAGGCCATAAGGACATCAAAGAAAATGCAAGGTAGAGATGGACTTTGTGAATACACGTAGCATTTTTGAGGACGGTAAACTTCATAAATTGTCCGTTATTGACAGCTGCATGGAAAATTACAAGTTACTGTTTTTGATGAACGATATGTATTTACACATTTAATGTTGAACTTGAGGAGACATTAATTACGCTCATTGCATAATACTCGTGCTCACTGTATGCTGGCTGATTGATCAAAATACATTTAAGGGCAAAGATGTCTACAGTGAAAGAAGCTTTATATTTTGAAGGATGTTTTACGTCCTGACTCCATTGATGGAGTTGCACACCTGCCAACTCTCAAAAGCAAATGAATATTTGGAAGTGTTTTGGCACTCTTACAAAACTGAGTTTTCGGGCTTGGGGAGTTCGAGCAAATGTGGCAAGTACAGATTCGGTACCACATGCGCAGTGATGTAAGCATTTGCACGACGGCAAGGCCGACATATTGCTTCACAGAAGCATCAAACTTCGTTCGCCCTGCGAAAGGGCAGCATAACATCCGGACTGTCTTCCAAAATAGCTGTGAAGATAGCGCAATCCGGGCAGTATGCCTACTCACAGGCCTTATTTTCGAACGCTACACCAATAAGCGGACGTGGTCATGCAGGACCTTAGTTTTGGAAAATGTTGCAGAAGGTTGAGGACGCAAAACAGTACGGGTCGTACGAGAACGATTGCCATGGAAATAGCTGCAGATGCCGAAAACACAACGCATAGAGGCTCTGAAATGCCGTGCTTTCAAAGTCGCAGTGTGCGGAAGCAACAGCAGCGTGTCGCAAATGTCTCAGTCTCAGCAAATTTTTATATGCAACCCCCCCCACCCCCACCCCAGCTGCAATCTCCCAAATTTTCATGCGGCTAGGTTGGCAGGTATGAAGTAGTAGTCCACAGTCTTTATGACAAGGTGGCTTGTATTTATATTTTTAATTAATTATAAATACCCCTAAAGGTTCCAAACGAGGGTATTACATAGGGGGACAGTTTGAATGTCCCAAGAAGTATTTTGAATGTGCCAAGCACTTTGTTATGAAGGCTTTTGACTATATTGCATCTTTCAAGAGAATATTTTGGTTGGTGCAAGCGTATTTATTTTCATTTATTTATTAAAAAATACCTGCAGTGCCCGAGGGCTTTATTGCAGGGGGCAAATACACAACGTAAAATACGCTTACACAAAAAGAACTATTCTAAAATAAGATGGTCACAAAAACAGATTATAAAAATAGTTAGAAATTCAGTGAATGGCATATAGTCAAAGGGGATATGCACGGCTGTACCTGAAATATGTAATGCATTGAATTAAATTATTTATAGTATAAATGCTTTATACAGGTTGCTTGCTTACAGAGTAACATTTAAATAAGGAGCCTGCCAGGTATCTCATATTTATTTATTTACATTTCACCTACATTGCCGTGAGGCATTACGTAGGGGAGGTACACATAATAATTTGACTACATAGTTTTCAATCGAAACAATCGATTCAATAAATAAAACAGCACTCAAAATATTATAACAGAAGAAAAAAAAGCACTCGAATATTGGTGAGTGAAAACAACGTCACAGTGATGCATTTGTAAACACCCACACGCTTCGAGACAGCAAATCATTCTTAGTGGCAGTGATATTGTAGGAGTTGTTACAATGAAGAAAAAAAGGATTCATTATCAGTTTCATTGACGAGATCATCCGGTAGACGGTTCCATTCCTGTATTGTTTTTACGAAAAAAGAACTACCGAAAGAGTGGGTTTTGTAACGGTATTCTAATATTTTTCGTGAATGGTCTTGACGATTAGACACGTACGTTGGTGTGAGCAGATAATCAAGAGGGTTAATGGCCTTTCCCTTATAATATATATACAATGAAGAAATTTAAGCCTGAGTTTCTGCTTCCTTACCATATGTCAAAAATTTTCTCATTATTCTAGCAATAATTTTTCAAGTAACTGTAAAATGACATATTATGTTGAATTGCCTCGAATAAGATGAGGCAAGTTGAATACGTGCAGCATTTAGAGTGGTTATACTTGAATGTCAACACAAAGGTCTGGAATTTTTATATAGAAAATGGGGGATGTAAATTGAAATGCTACATTACTTCAACAAATTCTAGGTGTTGGACTGCCTCTGTACCAGCATTTAGGTGATTTTCTTCTTCTTATATCACTTTGCCTCGTAACTAATATGCATCAACTAAAAGGTAGAAATAATGCTTCCTGTGCTCTTTTCAGCCTCATCATCTGCTGGCTTCACATGGTCGCAACTAGGCATAAGTGAATATTCGAGTGCCTAGAATGTTCGATGAAATACTACAATTTGCGAATTCCCTTCAACATGTGTTTAAACTATATTAAATTCAAGTATTCAAACTGATCAAATATATGTCTATTTGACTGAATGTAACTCTCCTGAAAAACTGGTTTCACGGTAATTAGGAGTGCCATGTCCTGAATAACAGGGGAAATTCGCCCTTGCATTAGGCCACACTTCAAGGCCCCATGTAAAATGCCACCACTTATAAAGGCAACACGTGAGTGCGTGGCCTTTCTTCTGTGGCGTCTGCCAACATTGCCAACAACGGACAGCTAAAAAAAATTACCTCTGGTTATGGCGTCATCTATTGGCAAGCAAAGTAATAAGTCTGGGCTAGTGGACAAGCACCGCTTGAACGCTGCCTCTCCGCTCTCACAACAAGCGATTCCTGCACTGCGGTGACTGCTGCCGACAAATTGAGTGTGGTGCGCGGTTGAAATGTAGAAGCTTTTCCGCTTGGCTCAGGTGAGCTCACTGATACACTTTCTCAAAAGTGTATCAGTGAGCTCTGGAAATGTGTTTCCTATGGTCATGGACAGCTTTTCTTGACAATGAAGGGAAGGCTACGGAGCCAAACTGGGCATATGCCTTCACTGAAGAATATAGTCCCACAATCGCGTCCATATTTTTCACGTGAAAATTATAAAAAACAATATTACCTTATTTTCTACTAGGTGTTGTTTATAAGAAGATTTAGCTCACACCAATGACATGTTTTCATAATTCATTTACTTCATGCAGTGTCATTTCGTGTTTTTTCACTTGAGAAAATGTCGCTCATTTACGTACACGTCACTGTCAAAGTGGCGTCTTCGCCTTTGAGTGAGTGCTCATTGCCATCCAGCTATTTCAACGACTTGCCCAAGAAACTTGACGAATTTCACTCACAAATGTCTGTCTAAGCAGATGTAGTAAATTTAATGCAGTATTATCATACGAACAGCGGCCATCATTCGAAGCGTGAGCCGAATTGGGCTACTTGGACGGAGAATGCACGTGCAGTAGCCCCACCCCTGTAGCTTTTCTTTATTGCCAAGAAAAGTTGTCCGTGAGTATAGTTTGAATCCTGGTCTGTCGCCTGAGAAAGTGTTCTGTCATTTTGTAAAATCCGTGCATAATGCTATAACGCCACGCACACTCAAACCACGTTGGGCATGATCACAGAAAAAAAAAATGTTGCTTCCTAAGAAAAACCGAGCTAAAGGTTGTTTCAAATGTTTTAAACCATTTTAAACAATGTTGTCTCTGCAATATAAAAAAAAACACATGAGACTTGCATGAGCCAACCGACAGAGCTTCGTTGTTTTAACCGTGAATGCGCGTCATGCTCTATTTGTTGGCAGCAGTCGACGCACTGCAGGCCTCACGTGTTGTGCGAGCGGAGAGGGAGCATGATTGAGAAGTCGTGAAGCTTATTTTTGCTTCCATTTCAGAAACGAGAAGTAGGAGCAAAAGGCTACGAAGGCCTGACAAAGGGCTCCCACTCCTGTTGGCAATCAGCATCAGTGGTACAAATGGCAATACAAAATTCATCACACAAATTGATATCGAACTAAAGGTCACATAAGCAGTATACAGACCATATGATCAATAACAGATGATAAAGAAGTAACATATAGCTTAAATCAAATCAATCCGGATAAGTAGCCCGGAATACAAATAATATATGCACATAAACAATAGTGAAATACATATGATTGATAATCTGCAGAGTAAATTTTCCTGGCTTCAGTAACATATAACATAGGAAACAAGAACATGTCATCCACGAGCCCTGACGCATTGTTTTGTTAACCAATAGATGACGCAAAATGTACACATGCTTTCTTTAGCTCTCTGTCAATGGCGCTGTAGGCAGCGGCCATAGAGTGCAGGCCTCACATTCGCGTGGTCCCTTTTGTAAACAGCAACAGTGTACATATAACCTCAAGCCTAATAAATTATTTTTTTTTAATTCAAAAGCTTCTTATACTGGCTTATATGTGCTAAGTGTAGTAAATTTTAAAACATAACATATTTTATCGCTCGTAACTCTCGCCTTACTGCTATTAAAATCTTGCTGCTATTCAAAGTTGCTTTCACTGCTCTTCTAACCCAAAAAGTTACATTCACGCACACCTGGTATCACTTCTTCATGTTTGTTGGGCGATGAGGAAAATTTTCATTTTTCTTTATACATAGTACATGATGTCAGATACTATTAGAAATTATTTGACCAAATCACTATTTGCTTCTAACCTCAATATTACTATTTGGCCATCCCCAGATTCAATTAATAATTAATGTGCACTGATGGCAAATGCTTTAGATAACTGAGAACAACATTAATTTCTGGTACAAATACTAAAGCACACGGTGCACATTGCAATGGGGTCACAAAATTTGGACATCTCTTTACTACCTGCTAGCTGCCGAACCAAAACCGCCTTGGCAAACCAGCAAAGCGTCGGAGATTCCAAAGGCGGGACTATGCGAAAAATGATCGCGTTCCGGGATTCGTTGGTCTGGTGGGTGGAGCGGCCCAAGAAAATCTCTCGCCAGGGTGTCGTTCCGAAGACTCGTTGGTAAGTCTAGGGCTTGTCGTCGGACACGCTGTGTCGGTAAGCTTCGCTACCTGGTGCACTTGGTGGAGGCGACACACTGGCTTTTTCTTCGAGGCGCAAGATTGGATGGGGCTTGTTTGTTTGGAGCTGGCTGTTGGGAAGCAAACAACTTCGTCCCGTGACATCACCTTGACCACAGGGGCCATCAAAAACACCCCACATCGTCAGTGGCTGTTGTGATGGGTGCACGGAGGGGCTGCACTTAATGTCTCAGCTTCATACTAGAAATAAATTACCTTTTGGTCATAAAGAAATTTGTTAACAAGGGTTGTCTGCTCGAGCCGATGTTTGGACAAGAGGACTTATCCTATTCAAGGCTAGAACTGATTCGAGAACACAACCCTGTTTACGAATTTTTTAACCGCAAACTTTAATCTTACCCTTCCCGCCGTCTGTTGGTCATAAGTCACACATACCTGCCAACTCTTTCTATTTTCCTGAGAGACTCCCAAATTCTGACCAGAGTGTATGGGTGCAGCCGTAAATCTCCCGACAAACAGCCAATATCAGTAATAAATAGCATTATCATCATCATTCTGAGCCTGTTTTAGTCCACTGCAGGACGGAAGCATTTCCCAATAATCTTCGGTTTGTTTTATTCTTTGCAAGCTAATTCCATTTAATTCCTGCAAACTTCTTAATTTAATCACTCCATATAACTCTTTGCCTTCCTCTACTACATTTCCCATGGGGACTTGAGGAGCCAGAACTGTGTGCTGCTAGACCAGAATATTCCAGAGAATTTTTTGGCCTTGAGGAACTATAACAGCTTGCAGCTAAACCCTCCCCCACCTTTTCATGTAAAGGGAGATGAGGCCACCCTGCTGGCGTGTCACCTTGCTTATTTACAGCTCAGAACATTATCATTATCATCATCATCTTGGCGAGAAACTTATGATAGCATCACAGCTCAGTGCATGCAAAATCAGCTTTGTTGTCTTACAATGTTGTGCAGTTAAGCGCGCTAAGTTTGAGAAAAGGCTATTATATTTTGCAGGTCATAGTAAATTTTGTACCATGCATGTGTAACTACTCATACTTGTTATAATTTTTAGCACTGGTGTAATTGCTAGTGTCTAAAAGCCTTACTACAATGCATTCAGAGCTGTGTATTCCGTTGAAGCATTTCTGTAGCCTTGAGAAGCAAGAAATAAAAATCTGCACATATTTTTTTCTTGTCCCCCTCACCCCTTCAGATACCTCTGCAAATCTCCAGATTTTCGGGATATTTAGGTTGACAAGTACAATCTTAGTTGATGAATGCATTGCTTGTAAGTGTATAAATGTTATGCTAATATCACTTACTCTCCCAGATTGGTGTGTACACTGTTCCCGCATTAAAGAGCCAGTCAACTGGCTCCGAATTTTTTTTACACCTCCCAAACAAGCTCGGCAATTCGTAGAGTAAACCGCAGCAATCACGTTTTCTAATTATTACAGAGCTGCGTGCCCTGCAGAGCCTCCATTTTAAAAACAATTCCCGCACTCCTTTCCTATGCCTGATCAATGCTCCTCGCACGTGCAGTGACGTCAGCTCGGCGATGTGACACAGCACGCAGCATCGATTGATCTAAACCAGCTTTCAACAAACAGTAGTGCTGTCAAAGACAGTTCCTGTTCTCACCCACAGCTGTGACAGAGCTATTCGATCATACAAGTTGGAAAACCCCCCTTAGGCTTCACGTATCAAAATCCGGATACATCACTGGCCAAGTTTTTGGGAGTTAGCAGATTGTCGCGCCACCTGTTTATCAGCACACCCACTATTAAACACATTATTTGTGTTTTATGTTGCTGCTCTCAGATGGCACGACAGTGTGCTCCCAAAAAATCAAACTCTAGAAAAATCAGGCCAACTGCATGTCCAGATTTTGGTGCAAATCGTTGGTGCATACGTAGTTTCGCTGCAAATCCTTGTCGGCTGCAAATCAAGCGACTTGGCTGTGGAGAAGCATCAGCACCGGGTGAATAGTAAACAGCCAGGCATCACAGCAAGTGGAAGTGCGTTGCGAATGATCGAGTTTGCCGACCACATAAATTGCTGACGTCTTGCTACGTTGTCGACGTGGGCGGAGTCACGATGATGGGTTACGCCTTCCGCTCCCTCTGGAAAAGGGTGGCGAGGCCACACAAAAATTTGAAACCAGCTGAATGCGATGTTCTAGCTCCTGGAACTTCCTCAGTATAGCATTTATTCGCGAAATTCTTGCAGCAGCATGTTCACGAAGTAAAAGTGCACATATTTATCTTTAAAACAATTTTGGACCTTGTGGTCGTTTACTGGCCCTTTAACAGAAAAGCCACTTTTATCACGGGAAGAGGATCGTTTAAACAGAAAAGACGGGAAAGATTACACAGGTGATGGCTTTCCGCAAAGCTGGCTTTACATCCTTGATTTGGAGGCCATCTGTCTTGGCATGGTACTGATATTTGTATTTTGAAAGATCCGAAGTCCATGCTTTGCAAGTTTTTGGAACATTCACCCAGCTGGAATGGCCCAGTATACGAGAAAATACATTGAGATTTGGAACATGATTCTGATGTACTGGCATTGGCATTTTGATCAGAAGAAAACAAGAGCCGAAAAAAAAATGTGATGTTAATCTTCTTTTCTAATGCCTACCTGTTATCCTAAAGTTAAAGGTGGTTCTTGTTGCTTTCTGGTTGCAGTTCACTGAGCTTAATGGTTCCTCTTGCAGCAACATTTTCCTTTTCACATGTTTTCTGTGTGATTACGTAGTTAATGTTCGACGACTTTTCTGAGCAGCCGTGGTGTCGGTCTCATTTCTTTATAGCTGGTGTTGCTTGTCTTTGCTGCTCAATTGCTTATGTCTGCCTAGAATTTGTGATGCTTTATTCAAAGATGTATTGGGCACTATTAATTATGTAGTAATAGGTTTACTTCCTGTCTGTGGTTCAATTTGTCCCTTGCGATTTCTCTGCGAATGCTGTTATTTTTGTGGTCCTATTGAAATTTCTTACACATGTCAAGAATATAAGAAATAAGTATAGTGAACAACAGTGTATAGGTCAAATTGAGTGATTATTTTGAAGTTTTCTTTCATACACTTTGTACTGAATTGCAAGTCATGCCTGAAAATAAAAGCGAAGTGCAAAAAGATGGGACCCGGGAGTCAAGTAGACAGTACGGGCGCTCTGCGTCCTGTGTCTTGTCTCCTGTGTTTCTTTTTTTTTTGCTCTCTGATTTTATTTTTAGACAATGTACCAATTCGCCAAGCAATGCATTTAATTAAGCAAGTCATGCCCATTGCATGGTTTTGCTGTGCCTGCTTGCTATAATAAGTAGACTAACTGTTGCTGCCCTTTGAACTTATCTTAATTACTTAACTACTGAAACCACTGTACGAGTCTTGAAGTAGTCTAAAATTCTTGTTGGCCTTCATGTGCAGTTCTTGTAGTTGTGAGATCAACATAAAAATGTTATGTTTCAGCTGTTGCTTGTTTTTAAAAAGAAAGATGGCAACTCTGGTAGTTTGGTAATACCTCACAACAGATATAAAACAGTGAAAAAAACAACACAAAAAATGGACATTATAATGATACAAAAGTCTTGCCAGGGTACCATTGTGAGTGCTATTCTGTCACTATACTGGCGTTAAGACATGTTCTTTGCCTTGTAATCATCATCAACGATATGTTGTCTGGTTGATTATGCTCAAGTGAGATAACTCAATCTTAGTATATTATCTGCTATCTCAGCTATGTTCTCGTTAAATTTGAAACGTCGCTACTCTGTTATGTACCAAGAATACTGCTGTAGTCAATGCAGGAATGTAGGTGATGTAAAAATGTTTCTTAACTGTGTAGTGTCTTCACAATGTACAAAAACCAGTCAAGCCTTTTAATTAATGCCTAAAATTTCAGGGTGCTTGAATGCATGACTTGCATGCATTGGGATGGTAGGAGGGAGGATGATGCTAACGTGTGCCACTAGGTCTGTTATTATTGCAAGAAACAGCACACCAACAGGACTGCAGGTTGTTGTTTCACATTGTCGTACACCAACAGGCTGGCGACATCTAAACACTTTCTTTTGTGCACCATTAAGACAACGGCATGTCATTGCTCTTGCTGTTGTTTGGTGTTAGTGTGTAGGGTGCAGAATTGACTTAGGAAAGGACAAAAGAGGGTGAAAAAGGGCTGATTTTGAAGTACTTTGTTATTGAAAAGGGCAGATTATATACACACTGGTCATATCAAAACACAAGAAACAAAAGTAGAGTATTCCCGCTGTAAGCTTTAAAGCCTAGCCCAGTAATGTGGCCGCACCCAGGCTGTGAAAGCGCAATTGAGGGAGTGCATCAAGGTTGCTACTGCAATCAATAGCAGTAATCTATATGCACTCCCTCTATGCTGTAACATTGATGCACTGTCTCAATGCTGTAACCTTGATGCAGTTCCTCAAGCAGTAACCTTGATAATGAAAAGTGCAATGAAGAACCTGTTGTGTTTTGGCCTGGCAAAAGCACAACAGTGATAGCGTAGTTAAGTAGAGTGCTCCCATTATCTGTCCTGTTTTTTTTTCATTTGACTGTGGTAAGTGACTCTAGTTTATGGTCACATTGAATCCACAATCATGCCATCGATTGGAAATGGCCTTACACATCATTATGAACATTATTACGGTGTTTGTGCGGGCACTTGTGTGGGCATCTGCTCGTCGGTGTCATACATATGTTCCCATACATCAGTATAATGAAATATATGATTCTGATTACCAGTGCATATATATTCTGTACTTTCTGATAATTAAGCGATTGTAAGCCCATATTATTTCAGTACTTTCTTCTGTTCTTTCTCATGTTGATTCTGTGCACAAGTGCTGAAGCTTGGGTGGGTTGGTTTAGATTCATAATGTTGCATTGTATAGCACATGAATGTAACAAAAAAAAGAGAAAGGATAAAAAAAAGGAAAGAGCACAGGCTTCAAAGTTGGAAATGAGTGCTCTTTCAACTTTGTCCTTTTTCATACATTCATGTGCTGTGCAACACACTATCAATTCCGCTCTGTGTACACCACTATCACATTTTACAATCAATCTGACCAAGCTTTCACCTTTTATGCTGTTCCTCATTATACACGTTAATAAGATGACGGCATCCTGTCAACACTTGAGGTATGCACGTGTGACAACAGCCTGTCATTCAATTTTTCGTCCATATCGTCCTGCCGTGTGCTGCGTCTTGCCATGCACGTCACCATGTTGTGAGCCTGAGCTAATGTGAGGCATGTACACCGGTGAGCAAAAGTGTGTGGACCACGGGAACATATGCCAGAATTGCTGTTTGCATCACTAGTGGCGAGCTTCTGCTGTCAAGGGCACTGCTGTGAAGAATGCCTGCCCAGAGCAATGCTCTCAACAGCAGACTGCTTAAAACAAGACAGTGCAGACGGCAGGTTCGACACAGGCTCCCATGGTACGTGTACTTTTGCTCCCAGCTGTACTCGCTGGCTCCTATGGCTGTGTGCACAATCTTTTTTCTCCCTACTGGATGCTTGCTGTGTGTGTATACCTTCCTTGTGTCTGTGGTTTGCAGTGGAGCTTGAGGATGCAGGAGCAGAATGCTATGCTGGACTGCGAGCCTGTAAGCACCTTTTGGCTTCTCCTGGCACAACTATGCGAGGAACGGTCTACCCGTGGGCTGTTCACTAATTCTCTCTTAGGAGGACCCTGCGCGAATTGCACATGTCTCTGAGGAGCCCCTGTCCAGGTTTTGCTGTTCCAAGCAAACGAGAGCAGCACATAGATTGCTAAATGGCAGTTGTGTCTGGAAAATATAACACACACCTGCGCTCTTGAAATGAGGTCACAAAATTTAGAACAAACAGCCATGCCCCTCCCTCTTGAGAGAGGTGTGCTTGCAGAGATTGTGTTACAGGCACTGTATCTAGTGGTACATTTTGGATTGCAAGTATTTCGAAGACTGCTCTTGATACGAGCTGACGAAAGCATTTTTAACTAATGTGCAGACTCCAACTAGAGTAATCGGAGGGTGGAAGATAATATATGTCACTGCATCTTCCATTGCAAATAAACGAGGTGCAATGATGCATTGTACATGCAGCCAGAACTGACGTCCCATCAGAATGAAAACTTTGTCACGGATCTTCAGACAACAGTCGACCAGGTTAGACCAATTTTAATTACACACTAATGGCAAAAACACACTGTCCTCAAGACAGTGGCAAGCACAAAAAAGGAACACACTAAATAACACTAGTGTGAAACAAAGCTATCATACAGAGAATAAGCAAAAAGAACAAGGCACAAAACAATATCAATCATTCTTCACTCAAACCACTTAGTGTTTTGTGTTGATGCACAATGAGGCGAAGAGGCATTGTGGGAGCGATGGCGTTGTCGTAAGCATCCGAGTCAATGGGGAAGGCTTGATTCATTTCAGGATGCATGTTGGCATTGTGGTTGAGGCTGGGAAGCTCGAGGTTTGATGACTTGGGTGTCACAGGTCCTGTCCTTGAGATGGCCAGTGTCTCGCAAGAAGACGAACTGGATCAGCCGAGACCTACAGAGCAGTGCCATAGGTCACAGTGCTCGGGACAAAAGCCAATGGCGCTACGTGGGCGTTTCTGGTAGTCCCACGTCCAGATCCTTCGACATGTCCTCGAACACACAGTGGCTACGTTGAAATGTTGTAGAACGTAGTAGCTTGAGCACCCGGAACAGAAGCTGTGGACGCTTGTAACCGGCTCTCGTAAAACGTAGGTGGTCGATCACCTGGAACAGAAGGTGGCGACACTAGTACCCAGCTCACGCGCTTAGGTTCAACACCCAGCCCCTATGCCCATGTCAGCTTTTGCTTTATATCTTCCACCTCATCTTTCTCTTCTGGTGTCGTAGTTATACGTCACGCTATGTTGAGATCTGAGTTGACAGTATGCCAGGGTGCTTCGAGCTGGAGCACGGTTCTCCAAAAGAACCAGCTGAATGTGTTCAGCCCTCTCGTATTTCAACCAGCCAAGTGTGATGGGCATCACAAGAGCCTCTTAAGACACTTGAAAATGACCAGATGAATGGACCATACGGAACAAGCATTTCTCAAAGCGTCACTGGCAATAGTTCATAAAAGTGGTTCTTCACACAATGCTAAGCTGACAGTGCAAGTCCCACTGCGTGAAACAGAAAGAGAAGAAGAAAGAAAAAAAAGCAGGTGTCTTATGTAGATGTGATATGCCCTACCACCTATAGAGGCTCCACTAATAGCCACTTAGCGAGCGCCAGCGACACTACATGTAGGAAGCCGAGTAGACATCAATGCTTTGTATAGCTTTTTCGTGTGCAAATGGATTTCCCATTTATTAGGGTGCCAGGCAACTAATTTTGTGCTGGCAGCTACTGGAAAGGTGTGGGCCCTTACAAAAATGGACTTGTACATGGTGTCTGTTACAAACGAGTGCTTAACTAAGCCACATCACTGACTTCGAACAGCTGTTTGAAAACTAGGTGCTGATGGTTCGCGTGGATTAAAAAAAACAAAAACAAGTATCGGAAGGCGCGAAGAGGACTATTTATCCTTTCTGCAGAAGACGCTGCCGAGACCGCCCAAGCAAGATTGGGAGAATTCGAGACATCCAATTCCACAGACTAGTCTGTGAGAAGGATCTATCTCTTTCCATAGCTTTCTCTGTGCTATGCGTAGACGAATCATGTAAAAGCTTCTCGAACCAAGGCACAAGCCGACATAAGCGGCGCAAGGGTCAGTCAGTGAGGAGTATCGTCAGTGAAGAAGTTACGATGTTCTGTGCTTGCAATATCGACGCGGGGCTACAGACAAAGATGAAAGGAAGAGTGCACAGGAAAAGTGCTGCATCTTTGTCTGAAGGGCTTCGTCAATTATGCAAGCGTGCCAACTAACCCAACATTCTACCGCATTGTTCAAGTGACAGGGTGGTTTGCTCGACCAGAGATCTGTTTTTTGATGGTGTAGTGTGGTTAGTTGGACTCGAAAGTATGAAGAGATCACACCGTGGTAGCTGTGACAAGTTTTAAAAAGGATTTTGGAGGAGACCTGTGGTGACCGACTGCAAAAGAGAACAAATCGTCAGCGCTGCTGTTTATGTGAATTGTAAAGCTAGTACATATAAAGATGCATCTTGCAGACCAGGATAACGAGGCCCATAACAAGAACCAGCATAACAAGCTATAAGGTGCAGCTCATAGTGAACAAAATGTGGTCTCAATCACTTCTTGTTCTTCTTAATGTCAACCGTTGCTGCATTGCTGTTTCTGTAAATAATAAATGCAGAGCGAAATGCCCTTGTTCGGCGGGCGGTCGTAGTGAACCAACACATATTCAGGCTGTGATAATTTTTGTTGCCTACCCATGTAAGTATCAAGTGTGTCCAACAAACACCAACATGGCGGAACGAAAGCATGAGACGAAGAAGCGATGCATTAGCTTACAGAGTAACAAGGGGTCACCTTCCTGAATGAATAGCGGTGGTCCATTGGTTTCATCATTCTCGCTCATGAGGCCTCGTGGTAAACGAGTAAAACCGTGTTGTGAACAAGTCTTTGTTGGTATTTGAGCACCCTACCCCACAGAAGTTGTTATTCGACATCCCTTGAGGTTTTGGCCATTACACATACAGCAAACTATGCTTATTTCACTACAAAAATGCGAACAATGTAGAAACACATGCACAATGATGTAGTTAACTATTGCAGTTGTCTGCTTACTTTCCCAAGAGTAATAAGCAAGAATTGCCACCTATGACACTTCCATCAGCACGTATTAGGCATATATGGCGCTTGAGAACACTTGCCAAAGCAAAGGGTGAGAGAGTTTGTGAGTTCGCTTTGGCAGTTGATCACTGCTATTGGGGGCATTTTAATTTTTTAATTTTAATTTTTTAAGTTTAATTTTTTGTAACTTGTTCGGTGACGACTGACTTAAAATATCGATGATTGTGATACTCCTTAATGTGAAATTAGAGATGCTATAAGCAATTTTTATGGTGGTCCCTTTGCAGTGGCCACAATAAGATTTGGCTGCGCACTTTACAAAATTTTTTGGTGACATATTGTACTCTCATGTGACAGTTTGCTTGTCTCCTTGCCCTTTTGCTACTCTCTTCGCGCTTGATTTAATATTTTGCTGTCCTCATTCACTCAAGTTACGACAGACGTGTCACGCTGATGCTCAATACAGAAACAAATGCTTGAGAGCTGAACTTAGAAAATTATGTTGGTAAAACCCTCTTCGGGCAGTACTTTACAGCTTCCAGTGTACAACTTAAATTCATAACAGGGTCTGGAGGGAATTCTTTATATGCGATCGCTGTAGTATGGTTCTGCGAAGCAGAGACATGCTGTCATCCCGCCCTAATATGACATAATGGCAGTCAACGTTCTTTATTGTGGCACTAGGAACCTGTGACAATCATGCAGAGTCTTCATCTTTTTACGAAGTACATTTTTCTTGTGTGTATCTCCTCGTAATAGATTAGTAGTGTAGTGCATCGTGTAGCACTAACACGTAGACTTTGTGAACATGAATTCCTTGCAGATGAACCAGCTGTGAACTTTCTAAAACATTTCGGAAAGTCCTTAGAGCTTTAGCTAAATCCCCATGGAGCTGGTTAGCTTTGTACAGATATCTATTAGCCTTCCTTATTGATTTAGATAGGATGAAAACAGTCCTACTACACAGTGCTGGACCAAGAAGTAGACACAGATGCTACAGAATAACAAAAATTGTTAGCCAGTGGTATTTCTTGTGTTACTTTCAGTATTTTTATAAGTGGTAGCACCATTTACATCTGATCATGAGCTTGCAAGAGTGACAGTCAGTCCTTAGGCATCAGTTTAGTTTTGCTGTGCATATATTAGTTGAACATAATAATGTGACACTTCTGTAATCTGCAGGTGGAAATTCGTTCAATGGGGCGTCGGCAAAAGCAGTTTGCCGTTACATTTTCTATGTCCAAGGAATACCTGTAAGTCATGCATTGTTGGGCTTATAAACACTTTGAGTACAGTGCGAAGGCATGCTTGAGATGGTGCGCTTACGCAGGTTTGACATCCCCGAGCCGAAAGAGGACTTCTTTAGTGCAGCACAGAGGGCACAAGTGGTGCATTTTATTCTCCAGCGCAAATCTTTCTCGCGTGACACCCAGCGGCGCCACTTTGGCATCGGTCGACTGCTCGCCGACGGCGTCTACCTGGCTGCTTATCCCGTTGCACGAAGGTGGCTCTGACCGCTCGTGCAGTGAAGGCACGGAGGCCCCTCGCATGCAACTTCGGCGCAAGTGGGCATCACTGCTGGCAGTTTTTCGCTACCAGCCTTTGGACGATGTGCGGCGTTACTTTGGTGTGAAGATCGGCCTCTACTTTGCCTGGCTCGGCTTCTACACTACCATGCTCCTGCCGGCGTCCCTGTTGGGTCTTGGCTGCTTCCTATATGGCGTGGCCACGCTGGGCAAGCACCGCCCTGTGCACGAGATGTGCACTGGTTCGGAGTCGCAGCTGCTCATGTGCCCGCTGTGCGACAACGGCTGCGAGTATTGGCGGCTGCGTGACAGCTGCACGCAGGCCCGGCTGGGTTACCTGTCCGACAACGGTGCCACGGTCGTCTTTTCTATCTTCATGTCGCTTTGGGGCGTCACTTTTCTTGAGCTCTGGAAGCGCTACTCGGCACGCATTACTTACCAGTGGGACTTGTCGGGCTTCGACACCCTGGAGGAAAACTCAAGGCCCGAATACCTGGCACGCTTGTCACGTCTTAAGAAGCGTGACGTGGAGCTTATCGAGCAGCAGGAGAAGGGTGGCATGGAATCATTGTCGTTCTGGCGAATACGCCTGCCATTTAACTTGCTATCGGTGTCAGTGGTGCTGTTGCTAGTGCTGCTCGCCGTGGCCGCCGTTGTGGGCGTCATCGTGTACCGCATGTCGGTGCGTGCTACGCTGGCGCTACAGAGTGAGGAGATGTCGAGCTTCATTCCACTCATCACGTCCACCACTGCAGCTCTGCTAAACTTGTTGTGCATTCTTCTCTTCAACATGGTAAGTGGAAGTAATCACAACAGCATACAGCCGTATTTCTTGCCTATTGTTATAGCAAAACATGTGTTGTCGTTCGGCTACAGTGGAACATTGGTGATAAGATCACAGCTCATACAAATTTCAGGGTGATACGAATTTTTCTGTGGTGCTGGCCAAGGCCCATTAGCCTGAATGTAATGGAGTGTGGTTGTTGCAAACCGATTTTCACCCCATACGAACAGAGGTTATACTGGACAGGTACGAGCAGGCAATGCCCACGCTGTCGCGGAAGACAAGGCTATCGCATGCGGGCATGGAAACCCAATTGCAGGCATGCACGCACAACGGCCAACACTTCGATTTTTCATGGGAGACTCCCAAACTGGGAGCAAACCTCCCGATTGTACTGACACAGATCTTCCAAAAAGCATCCCCAACACCATAGTGATAAGAAAATAACCACAAATACCAGCAGTTCTCAAATTTTCTGGACCAAGTAAGCTTGTGCAAACAGTGATTTTAATAGAATAATTTTGAATCGATATTGTTACGTGGCATTGGCAACGAGAGAGCATTAGGTAGACGATGAATACGATCAATGCGATCGCGCTCTGTGTTGTTGCTGTTGTTCCTCCATCTTATAGGATACTTTCTCTACCTACCATTACCTGGTTTCCTGCACATCTTGAACACCTACTGGACTCTCTAGTAAACCTGAATGACACTGCTCACTCCCGGGTGTGCGCACTAATCTTCCTGCGCTAGGGAGAACGTAGGTCCGCAGATTGGCAGTGAGATGTTCAGGGACGCTTTACTTACATTCAGTGAAGTGGCTAAACACTACCAGTTTAGTAGGCGGTCATTTGCTCCTCCGCACAACAAGTTGTCTAGACCTCAGGCCATCACGTTTAGAATGCTCTAGATTAAGTCCTATCCAAGCCTATTTTTCTCAGCATAGTCTCCTCAGAGGCGCACAAACCTAGTGCAAAGCAATCCTTAGGTTGCTTTTGCTGCAGTGCCTTAATATTGTGCAAAAAAGTGTGCTACTCTACTACTCGCTGTCACGAGTCACAGCACATCTGGTTCTCTTACTGCACATGCGTTCGTGCACTTGTATATTTACGAGCACAAGTATGATCATCAACGTCTAAAAACTTTACTGTCAATCACTTAGAGATGTTCATGATGTTGCTGCGGCCTTGAGAGATAATAAATGAAAAGTTATGCTAACTTAGCACTAATTTTTGATGTTTGTTCGTGATGCAAATTTCAAATGATTCCGTATATTTCTGGTGACCCCACTAGATTCGTATCTTCGAGGTTTCACTGTACATGGCTCACTAACAAGTTGCTTTGGGGCCGCCAAGAAATTGCGACACCTGCCTTCATACATTTCGTCATAAAGGAGAGTACATTCCAACCTCCCAAGCCCTGGGGGATGACATGTTTGGGCGCGAAAGTAGATCCCTCATCCTACTCCAAAATTTTCCTTTTGTTTTCTTGATGAGCTCTGATTGGGCTTTGGGTAATGTAATGGGAGAAAGTAGTGTACAGAGCGTCAATTTGTTATTGCAATAGCAGTTATATGGACACCTTTAACTGGTTTTTCTTGTTGCCATTGACGGCATCAATCTATTGCCGTCATGTTCCGTATATGTGTATATATATGTAAATATAAAGGCCACATTGAAGAATAACTTGGAACATGTATTTTCCAAAGCACGGGAAAACCTGCGACCCCTTGCTCCACAGCATGCCACATTAAACAACTGCATCATGGAGCATACTATATCAGTGTATGCGCTTCTTACTGGCGCCACCTGCATTTTACTTGACAGGGCATGGTCGCCCATACACACGTTTATGTACGATTTGTACGTCTCATACTTTCACTGTAAAGTTTGCGTTGAAGTTACAGAGAGCATGAAGGTCACTTTGCTCGCTGAAGCGGCCCCGTTTGCAAAAGGAGTGAGTCTCTAGTTAGGAGTGCCAAATTTGGGGCAGTTGGTTGTGTGTAGTTGACATTTGCATTGCGCTTCTCAAATGCAAGGAACTAACAACTGTGACAGTTACTAGTTTGTACTCGTCTTGTGTATACCTGTGGCATTCTTTTCGTGTGCCCTTAATTGCGTTTGGGCAGTGCCCTGCAAGTTTCGAGCTGCTTGCCGTTCTTTGCATGACATTCAAATAGTTTGCTATTCCACTCATTACTTCGTCTTGGCAGCAAAACTGTGACAGAGACACGGAGAGAGACTGCCAACTATTGGCTCAAAATGTGTATTTGTAAAGCCTGACGGTGCTGCATAAAAAAGTGACACTTTAACTTAAGGCTTCTAGGCTCGTCATTAACGCGGAAATGAATCTGGCATTTAAATCAAGAACTGGACAAAATCTCATCTGGTTGGGAAGCAATGGCATAATAGAAATAAAAAGAAAACACTGACTGAATAAAGGTTGTCAAAAAAAGTAATGTTTCAGTTGCACACAGAAACAAAAAAGTTATTTTGTCGACAACCGCATTTTGGTTGGTGCTTGAATCTAGCGTTCCTCTCATTGACTGATCGTTGGAGCTTAATCAGGTGTGCAGTGTAAAATACTTTGCCAAACAATGTGAAGACTAATGATGGCGTTTTTTATTGCAGTTATACACACGGCTGGCTGAGTACTTGACCGAGATGGGTGAGCACTTTCCTCTACCTTTTGTGGCACAGCAACTGCCTTGTGCTACTTCATTACTCGTGCCTTGTTCTGTTATTTATTTATTTATTTATTAGTATACCCTCAAGACCCAGAGGGTGTTACAGAGGGGGGTGGGTACAATATGAATGTGGCAATAAAAAAAAATAATAATAACAACAATGAAGGAAATACAACAAATAATAGTTAAAACAGAAAAAAAAAATACAAGACAAGAAAAACGTTATGGGCAGCGAGCAACATTATTTTTGTTGGAGCGTGCATAACTGTGCTTTCATTAAACAAATCTGATAGTTCACAGCCTGATGTCTTTAGGACTAATGTGTGAATGTTCTATGCAGAAATGCCAAGGACACAGACTGAGTATGACGATAGCCTCACCCTGAAGCTGTACCTCCTGCAGTTTGTAAACTGCTATTCATCCATATTCTACATAGCCTTCTTCAAGGGAAAGTGAGTGCTGAACTCCGGAAATGCGAGGTTCATTTGATTTGCCTGCACAAGCTGAACCAGTTTCAACTGAGCCTCTCTGTAATGAATTTTTGGTGATAATGAAGCAAATGGGGAATTGCATCTTTCTTCCTACAGTGCAGTGAATATACCTTTATAACTGATTGCTGGGTATAGCGAGTGTCAGATGCGACTAAGTTTTAGTGAGGCCTTGCCGGACGACATGCTGCATGCCGTTATTCATTTCAGGGATGCATCAAAGGCACGCTAAGAATACTGGGCTGGTTTAGCAGCACTCAATTGGCGGGAATGTGTGAAGCAGCTGACGACACAGCTCTTGGGCATAGTTGCTCTTTGTCACATGCATCTCCTGTTCTCATGCTGTGTGGAGTGCATTTTATAGCGCAGCTCTCACGCGTCCATTCCTGCATTTTTTTTTTACATTTTACATTTTATTGAGGTTGTTATGACCACATTTCAAGAAATGCACAACACTGATTAGACCCATAGCCATAGGCTAGTAAGGGGTCTAACGAGAGAAAGTATACAAGCAGAGTACAATTTGTGTATAAGAAAAAAATCAAAACATCAAAAAACGTTGACTTTTCAACAAACGAACAAAAATACAAGAAGATACACATTGTTGCACTTTGTTCATAAATAATGAAATAATCAAGTATAGACAAAACATCAAACTATGTGTAAGGCTTAGTACATGGTCATTACTATTGATCTACATGTAGCAAATATTTTTTGAGTGCGCTCGAGAAAACCCTAGAATCTTTAATCTGAAGGGGTATGTTATTCCACACTTTAGCTCCTACGAACTGTAGTAAGCGTTCACCATACACGTTTTTAGTGGGTGGAAGATTAAAATTCCGCAATGTCATGCATCTAGTGACGCGGGACGAGGAAGAAAAGATAGATACATCGAAAGGTACACTGTGTGCAATAAGATTGTTGATGGTGACTGCGGTTTTATGCTGCCGTATGTAATCAAAAGGTAGAATATCCAATTTGTGAAACAAAGACTCACTGGGTTCATTATATGCCGCATAATCTATAATTCTAAGTGCCCGCTTTTGTAATATCTGCATAGGATCAAGGTAAGTTTTAGAGGTCCATCCCCATGAATCTAAGCAGTATGATAGATGAGTATGAACAAACGAAAAATAAAGAACTCTGAGAATATTTCTGCTAAAATAATTTCTAGCAGCCAGTAGCATACTGCAGCCAGATGCTAGCTTAGTACAAACAGAGTTAATTTGTTTTTTCCAGTGTAATTGGCTGTCAAACACTACACCAAGATGTTTAAATTCATTTACATGCTCAAGTTGGCAGTTGTTCATTGTGTCGAAACGACTCACAGTTTACATTTTGGTAACGGGAGTGAAAAATGGTGCATTTGGTTTTCTTTGCATTGAGGGTTAATTTGTTCACTGTAAACCACTTAAAAATATTTTCTAGTTCTTCATTAGCTCTACATTCTAGATCGGCTATGTTATCGGCGGTAACTATTAAAGCTGTGTCATCAGCGTACATTAGCAACTCGGCCGATTTGAGTATGCATGGCAGATCATTTACGTACCGTGAGAATAATAGTGGCCCCAGGACGGACCCCTGAGGTACCCCTGTCTTTATGTTTAATAATGACGACGTAAGATCTTGCATGTTGACCATTTGATGATGTCCATCAATGTAGTTAGAAAGGAGGCTAAAAACTTTGCCGCGGAATCCGTAGTGTTTTAATTTCATAAGCAAAATATTATGGTCGACGGTATCGAATGCCTTTTTTAAATCAATGAAGACAACTGCCACAAGAAGGTTGTTGTGCAGTGCTTTGTTAATCTTCTGCGATAATGATAACACAGCTGTTGATGTGGAATAATGTGATCTAAATCCATGCTGCTCCGGGCAAAAAGCATTATATCTTTCTAAGAATAGGCGCATTCGTTTTCCCAGAATCTTTTCAAATATGGTGTTTATAATGCTTAACACAGATATGGGCCGATAGCTTGAAGGATCAGAGCGACTGCCCTCTTTATATACCGGCACAACTTTGGCGTTTTTTAAACAAGATGGGTATGTCAATGTACGCAAGCAATGGTTAAATACGTGGCACAAGATGGAACTCAAAATATCAATGTTATCTTTCACTAAAGGAGCAGTAATACCATCTATTCCACTGGCTTTGTTCGTGCTTATATTGGCAACAGTGTCATGAATTTCATCCTCACTGATGTAGTGAAGAGCAAACGTATTTGTTAAGGAGGTTGAAAAACATTTCATTTCTCTACTAGGGAATTTTGCAGCTAAGGTAGAGCCGATTTCAGTAAATGTTGGTGTGCTTTGTACATTGAATGTTGGTGTGCTTTGTCCGTCGTAACCAAGAGAATGAATTTAGCCAAAGATGCGTACTTGCAGATAGAGTGGTGAGAGGGAACTGGCGAGATGGTTCCAGTGTAGAATGTGTCGCCTAGGAGCTTTTTTTAATAGTGTCTGCTCTGAATCACACCCACATCCTGGCCAGAAGAACCTCCAAAGTTGCAAGGCAGTTGCATCGCATTTTACTTCTATAATGTAAATGCAAGGTCAAAAGCGGTATCAGCGTCGGCACAGAAGCAGCAAGAGCTGGCCGGGTGTACGGGCAGTCTTAGCTCGTGACTCGCGCCAATGTGTCGATGTCGCTGCAGTAGTGGGCATTCCTCTTCACTACACTTCGTCCCCCGTCAGAAAAGGAGCCATCCTGGCGACTCACGGTGAACGGAGTACGAGCGGATCGTAATAAGATTTCAACCGCTGTACGTGAACGGTTTCACGACCCCGAAAGCGCTGGTCTGTGGATGTCGTAACGGGTTCGACGATTTAGTTAACAAGTGAAGTCTGCGAGACAATGCTGTATGGTCCATAGTATTTCGAAACAAGCTTCAAGGAAAGGCCTGTAGGCACAGCGGGAACCCAAAGCCACACAAGAGTGTCCGGAACAAAGTTAGGGTACGGCTAGTTATCGTCACGTCGAGATTTTTGTCTCCATTGGTCGACAGTTGTAAATGACTGGGCGAGCTTATGGCATTCCTCGGCACGGAGGGCAGCTTCAGAGATAGGCGTAGACTCCGAGGAATCTGGGTGGTAGGGTAGAATGGTATCTAGTGTGGTGGAAGGGTCTCGGCTATATTACAGGAAAAATGGCAAAAAGCCCGTGGAGCAGTGTTATATGCGTACGTCACAAAAGCAGAATGAGGTCCCAATCGGAGTGGTCTGAGGCAACATACTTTGATATCATGTCCCATAGGGTACGGTTGAATCTTTCCGTCAATCCATTCGTCTGCGGATGGTAGGCGGTGGTTGTCCGGTGAATGATACGGCATTCGGCAAGGAGTGCGTTGACGACTTCAGAGAGGAGTACACGTCCTCTGTCGCTGAGAAGTTCACGCGGTGCGCCGCGACGGAGAATGAAGTTCCGCATGAGAAAAGAAGATACGTCACGTGCTGTGGCAGCAGGCAACATAAGCACAAGCAGGCATAACTAATACCGTGTGTCAACTCTTTGCCATTAGTTTCTAGTGTAACATTGTGCTTGTGCCATTGAACTCGAGCTGCAGAATACCTTAACTTATTGAACTTTGCTGTAAAGTGGCTGAAAGCATTGCAGGCAAATTAAATGGATTAGTGGGCAGCGTGCATTGTGACCCAACCGGGCATTGTTTCGGCAGGTTCGTCGGTCGACCCGGCAAGTACAACACGTTCCTCAACTACCAGCAGGAGGAGTGCGGCATCGGGGGTTGTTTTGTGGAGCTTTCCATCCAACTGGCCATCATTATGGTGGGAAAACAGGCGTTCAGCGCAATCTCGGAGATGGCGCTGCCTTACGCCATGCGCCTCTGGTCGCACATGTCGTTCCTGCGAAGCAGCAACCACGAGCACCAACCCTCGCAGCCCTGGGAGCGCGACTACTTACTTCCTGACATGGGCACCACGGGCCTCTTCCACGAGTACCTCGAGATGATCCTGCAGTACGGCTTTGTCACGCTCTTTGTGGCCGCTTTCCCACTGGCTCCTCTCTTTGCGCTGCTCAACAATGTGCTCGAGATTCGACTGGATGCGCTGAAACTCCTCGGCTCTTATCGGCGGCCCGTGGCTGTGCGAGTCCGTGATATTGGCATCTGGTATCGCATCATGGATTCTTTGGGCAAACTGGCTGTACTTACCAATGTAAGTAAAAGCCGGGTGGCTACATTTTTTTGCATAACATTTTCTGATGAGCCAAAGGCACTTAGACAATGTCTGTCTAGCCTCCTAGGTCAAGCTGCGGTGGCATTTGCATTTCTATAAAGGCAAAACGATACAGGCCCGTGTACCCTGCAGTAACAGTGCATGTTATGAAAACGCAGGTGCTTGAAATATTCTGAAGTACTGCATTCTGGCATCTCAGAAAGCCTGCGTTGCTCTGGGACGTTAAAGGCTACAGGCCAAAAGCCTTCCACATCGTCATGGTTATTTCATGAACTGTTTCATTGAGTATGTATTAGAAAGTGCAAGGCTTGGCGCGAGTTTCACCAACGATCACATTGTTGACAACCAGTGTCCGTGCTCGCTATGATTGTGAAGCAAGTAATTAGTTTTGCTCTTATTGAGCACAAGTTCACCCCCTAAGAAGTTTGATGTTTACCAGCCTGTGCTCTGCGTACTTCTCTGCTGCAAAAACGCAGTAGTATTTTGGGAATTTTACTATGGATTCTCCCTGCTGCTTTTTTGTGTGTTCTTACACTGACGAATTCATACAGGCTGTCCTCATTGCCTTCACGTCAGACCTGGTGCCGCGCCTCTACTACCGCTGGAAAGTGTCGCCCACAGGAACCCTCGATGGCTTTGTAGACTTCAGCCTCTCCTACTTTGATGTGCAAGATTACGACGAGGGTGTGCGACACGGAAATACATCCGGCCTGCTGGGCTCTCGATACTGCAGGTGAGGTACAACTAGTGTCACGTGGCCATGTGTGATTCTTGATCAAGATTGGCTTCTTACAAAAGCTGCAGAAAGGAGCCAATCGCGGTTGGTCTGAATCAAATTTCTTAATTGTGATTGGCTCCTTAACCTTTTGCAGTTCGTCATCGGGCAGCACCTGACATTATTGTTTGTTAGAATATGGCAGTTTTCTCCCTGCAAGTTGTGCACGTTTTTGAATACATGAAGTGCCATCTATTGAGGAATAAGTGAGCCTTGTTAGATATACTTTATTTATTACACTGGGGTGCAGCACTATGTTCATCACGGAGCCCAGAACCTAGCCACTTGCACGTGGTTCACTGAGAAACATGGCCACGTTTTCACCGCATGCGTTGTGCAGTAATGCTTTTAGTGAAAACGAGGATGAAATTAGTGAGGAAGAGAATTACATGCCTCCACCAGACAGTGAATCGACAAAAGTGAGTGACGAAGACGACAACGGTGGTACATCTGTTTTTCTGCAAAACCTGCGGCAACAACCCTGGCCTGCACCCAGGAGAATGTTTTGAGCTATATCATAAGCTGCCAAACAACGGTAAAGAAGTTGCCTGCAGAATGCAGGAGGGAAAATAAATATCCTGTGAGCTTACTTCCACATTTAATGTTTTTCTTTGCGGCACCCAAAACTGGCAAAATAGTTTGGACTGTTAGAGCTCGAAAGTGGGTAAAAGTTTTGGACCGCAAAGGTTTAGTTAAGCTGAATAGAGTGTGCCAGTCGCTGTTGAGAAATCCGATCAGTGCACCACATGGCACTGGTAATACATTGCATTGATGCCTGGTTTGATGGAGAAAAAAATTCACTTGCAGATATGCCGACCACCGTACGCCACCATGGGTTGAGAACCAGTACAAGCGGACATCGCAGTACTTTGAAATCCTAGTCTGGAAGTTTGCCTTTGTGCTGTTCTTTGAGGTGAGTCGAAACTTACAACCTAGTAACCGATTTAACTATATAAGACTGAGAATGGGTTAGTGTGTGTTTGCCAAGCATTTTGAGACCACGAATGACAGTTTACCATGTATCCCTCTGAAGAAAAGATTATAACGGTGGCATCCTAACAGTGCTTATCCTACAGCGCGGAAACCTGGAGGCCTATGAAAAGGGTTTAGCCTAAAAGGCCCCTAAACTACCTAGAGGCCAAAATTCAGTTGTGGAGGGGAAGATGTGTGCGAGTGTAAAACAACCACAGAGCTATGAGAATTTTTCAAAACCATGCCATAATAGCGGAGTTAAATGCGTTTGAATATTGAAATGTAGCGATCACTCCTTTCACGCTTTCCTTCACTACCCTTGGTTGGTATCCTCTCCCAAAGCCATCTTGCCCTCTCGCCGAATGCTTCTCCCAAGCTCGTGTAGCATACGTCGTCGCCGATTCCCTTCTCAAATACGACGAGCAACAAGCAACGTGGACAGCTGCTTTGCAGACTAATCGGAAGCCGTAGGCTCTTGCTCGACCAATCACAGCATATTTGTGTTGCGCAGTCAGAGATTCACTTCTCAACATCACCTGAAAAGCCTGGAGAAGGGGAGGGATTGTATTCTGGAATTTATGGGGCGCCAGTGGCTTGCAGCACTTCCACGTGCAGAATCATAGATTGCGACAGCATTCTGCACACAATGCGCTTGTTTACTTAAAATGTATGAGAAAATATTGGAGGTGGTTAGGGCCCTGTAAATTGAAGACACCTTAGTGAGCCACGAAATGGAAAATAATAGCTGTAACCTGAAGAGCGCAGAGTGTGAAAAAACAAGCACTCGTTGAAGACATCTTTGTTGAAATCAAGAAAAAATGGGTATGGGAATGTAGCTAAATGGCAAGGCAGTGGCTGGTCAGTAAATGGCCTGATTCCAAGAGAAGGTAAGCATGCCAAGGGGAGGCAGAAAAATAGGTGTGCAGGTCAGATGAGGAAGCTTGAGGGGATAATGTGGCCGTAGCAAGCACAGGACTGCGTTAATTGGAGGAAAGTTGGAGCATCTATCAGGCTGATGATGATGATGACTACTTTTACTGCCTTGCGATTCAGGGAAAAACTTTGTGCTTTCGTTTCAGAATATAATTGCATTCCTGATGACGCTCATTCGCTGGATCATACCCGACGTCCCCAAGACCATACGGGAGAAAATTCGAGAGGACAATCGGCTCACCAATGAGATCATAATTCTACAGGAGCTACGACGACGACACGTGGACAGCCCGCCCCCAGTGGCCTGAATGTTCACATGCTTGAACTGAATGTTCATCGCAGGCCACGTTCTGCCATATCTGCCAAGTTCCTGCTCCCCCGTGTGTGTGCAATCGTGTGTTGCTTGTGTTCTGAAACTGAGGCCATTGATGTGTTGGTTTAAACGAGGCCCCAATGATCAAAGCCACGGAAATTGTTAATGAACGAACATTCTGCTGCAACAGCACTTGGTGCAGCGATTTTAATGTCTGGTCTCGTGAGAACTCCTTGTGTACCTGCCCACCAGGAAAAAAAGAACAGCGCATGCCATATATGAGCATTATTCTTCACGGCCGTGCTTATTTTGCTGTGAAACTCAGGGTGACGTCAGCCCACCTCTTGTTTGAGGTTGCCTGCCTTACGCATTAACTTTAGTTGAGCTTCTTTTGTTGCTCATGTTGATACAGACTCTATTTACTTATGCAGAGTTTATTTCATACGTTGCGCCAACTGCCATGCAAACTCTGATAACACGTAATCTCAAATGCGTCTATAGACTGTAAGCCATACAACTGCATGCATCACTTTTCTTGGCCTAAGCGCTACAGTTTCTATTAAAACATGTGCCTCTACGTCCGGCGTCCGTTTCTTACTTCCACGGTCTAAAGTTTGATGGTGAAAGAGGCGCCACAGGAGCAACCGTGCTCCGCCTGCGGATTGTCCACGATGCGGAATGCTGAGCGGATGAGCTCCTCCTGGTAGTCTAGCGTGCCGCCGCGTAGCAGGTCCAACGATGCACTGTCCACGACAACGCGGGCGCCGTCGCGTTCGAAGAGCACGTCGTCCGGTGCGGGCTGGTCTTCGAGCTGGAAACGGTACTGGAAGCCGGAGCAGCCGCCGCCTTCCACGGACACCCGCAACACGCGGCCCACCCCGACGCGCCGCAGCTTCTCCACGCAGCTGTCGCTCAGCCGCAGGGCACCGTCGGCACTCTGCTGCGATGCGGCGCCGCGCCAGCATGCTGCCCGCTCGTTTCGCGCGCCTCGCACTGCCCAGAGCACGGCACCGTGGCACGAGCGAAGGCGCCGAGTGAGCATGTTTTCGCAGTCCCTTCAAGTCTTGCAACCACTCCAATGAGCGGCAGCTAAGGACATGCTTAACTTGAGGGGGGATAATGTGCACAATACCGTGATCTGAGAGAGCATAGCACGCTCGAGGCGTCTCTTTTCCGGGCTTTGTAGAGACAATCGAAACCAAGAGTATGCTGAGCTGGGCTACTTCGCTGCAGCTGGGCGCACGAAATTAAACGAAACGCATTGCGACTTTCATTGAACGGCCGTCCAGGTCATACAGTTTCCTAATGTACACCGGAACCACAGCCGGAACCTCACGGAGCGGAACCTTTTCGGCTAAATGCTACCGTAACCTACAACTCGTCAATCCAACGCCTCCTCTATTTAGATGCCTGCCGCGTGAGAACAAAAACAGCTGCCACACTCTTTCTCTTCTTCACTTTCAATAGATGGATTGATGGACTGATGTGGCTCTACCCTTCAGATCGGGTGGCGGCCAACGCCACCCAGCCGTAACACTTAGTGAACCACCAACTAAATCTATTTTTTTCCCTTTAAATAGTAAAGTATAGGACTTGTGAAGTATAAGACTGGTACTTTGCAGTGAATGGTTTAATTTTCACTCGTGCCTTGACTTTAGCCACCAATCAGATAACCTCCTCCTAGTTAATTCTACCAGCTTAAAGTATATTTTGCCCTACCTGTCTCTAAAACCCCAGTGCTTTGAAAAACTCTGCACCATCATCCTGAACCATAGGGTGAAGCTCTTTACAGAAGTTCGGCAGTTTCCTCCTCCTCTTTGTATGCACTGCATACCGCACCTCTCCTTTCTCCGTGGCATAAATAAATGGATTGATATGACTGTACCCTTTAGACTGGGCGGTGGCTAACGCCACCAAGCTGTAATACTTAATAACACTGTTGGTTGCGAGTGCCACTGCGCGGCGCTTGCTCAAAACTGAAGGCAAGACGACTTCACTGGCACATAAGCCATTCCTCAGGCATCCTAATACAGGAGGCGTTGGTCAATCTCGGCTAATCTCGAACACGTGTCAAGCCAGCATGAGCCATAGTGCAGCGCCGAAGAAAGCATTGTGAAACATTCTTTGTGCGTCATAGCCGCACTTCAATGTGTGAAAAAATACACACTTTACTCATATTGATGGGAAACACTGTGTGTTTGAATTATAGTCACACTAGTATATAACGTGTAGTTGGCTCTCTCTGGTTGCTGTGGATACTCCTCATGGGAAGGACAAAGAGACGACCAAAAGCGTGCAGTGTGCAGAATTATAAGAAGTGTAAAAAGTGAAAGTGTCGAAGCCTTCCCGATTGTTTTAGTACGTGCTCGTTGCTGCATCTCAAAACAGGCGTTGTTCAAAAATTAAATTTCAGGCCTAGCTTTCGCGCGCCGGCTCACTGCCCCTAGCGACGGATACTCGAAACCATGTGCTTCTTTACTTCCTTTGAGCTGATGTGTGTGTGTGTGTGTGTGCGTTCATGACACGCTGTGCCCGTGAGGATGATTGCGGACAATAAACTCGGCGATATTTTAAACTAAGGAAGACAGAGGCAATCTGTGGCCGGCCAACCATCGACTATCGAGAGGACGACACGGTGAAGTAGAAAGGAGAAGCGGCGTAGGGCAACGAAAAGAGCCAAGATATGTGGCAACAGTGGAGCGCGGCCGCGCAGCCCACTGCTGCCGCCGCGGCGGTAATGCCGGCCGCGTCCGGACAGTCTTTTGTGCCGGCAGGACTCGGAGTTCTCGGTTGGCCCGCGGCTACGCCAGCGGCCACCCAGCCTGCCGTTTCGTACGCGTGGCCCCAGTGGACGGCGGCCGCTACGACTACGAGCGTCGCCGCTGCGGTGCCTACCACGACGCCCGCGGCCGATGCCGGCGCTGGAGGGGCGACGACTACCACGGCGTCAGCAACACAGGAGGCCGCCGCAGCGGCTACGCCCGAGGTTCGTGCCCCGGCGCCCACCTGCGCACCCAGCGCTCGCCGATTGCGGCAGACACGCCGTATTTTTCTCGATTGCGCGCGTTCGGACGGTGCCAGGCCTCGCGGCGAGCTAACCCGAATCGTGCGAAGTCGTGCTTGGCTTGGGCTTCTTAGCCAGAACCATGGAAACGCGATGGCTGCCGTTAGGAAATATCAACTTCTCGGGATAATTCTGCGCAGCACGAGACTTTCTCGGAGGCCATCTGCGGCTGATTACGAAGCTTTTGCGAGCTCTAGTTGTTTTTGTCGCTAAACTTTGAATGGCCGCCACGCGAGTTCCCACAGTTCAGCGCGGCTCGCCGGCCACTTGTGACTGTTCCGTGGAAACTGCACAAAGGATAGGTCGAACTTGTTTGCTCGTCTAATCTAGCATTCCCAGATTGCTTCTCCGAAGCCATTCTAATTAATCAATACAACGCCTCCGTTACCCCCCATGCAACTGCGCGTGCATAAGAACGGTGGCTTCGCGCGGCATTTCTTCCTATTGGGGAGGAAATGTGTGCTAAACACATTCACGTTGTGTTACGGGGACATGATGCAGTCTCGCACACTGATTTGTATTGCCGTTTGCGAATCTTCCCCTTTAACTGCGTTCTTCGTTTGATTGGCGCCCTTTAAAGTTCACAACTGAGATACTGGGCTGTGTGATGCTCACGTGCAGTTACCATTCACCAGGGGCTAAACTTGTGCGTTTCCGTATATTATAACTTCGAAATTGCGTCCGTTCTTGGATTTTAATGAAAACCCTACTACGAGGCTTTGTGGGAATCTTAGTAGTGAATGTCTGCCATTTACAAATTAGTCAAAAGTTCAACCCTTCCTAAGCTCGGGTTTCAATGTAGTGTGATCTTTGAACAGCAAGCCATCGTTGGCTTCAGCATGGTTGTAGTACCCTGTTACTGAATTAACAGCCGTGTCCCAAATGCCATAACAGGTCGTTGGTGGTTGTGCTTGCTCACGTGTGCTGTTTTGTGTTGCCTAGGTTTGTCTTGCTGCTGGTGTTCCTTGGCAGCATTTGGAATGGCAGCTGTAGCAATCAATACATTAAATGTAAAAGCATGCCTTCAGACCATGCAGTAAGATTAGCCAGAGGGCTGACACCTCTCATTTAGAAGCGACAGATCATTAAACGCTAGGAGCTGTTTTATATAAGGCAGGAAGATCAGGGGAAAATGGAAGCTAGACAAGATGAAAAATTCGGGAACACGAGGTGTCGCTAGAGCGATCTTTTGACACGCAGTCTTGTCTTCAAAGCTGCAGCTTGGAGGAGGCAAGACTGCTTGTTGAAACATAGGCTCCAGCGACACCCAGTGTCCGTGAATTCTCTATCTAATAATAAGCCTTTTGCCGGAGAAAACATGTTTAGGAAAGAGTTTTGTTCCTCTCACAAACCAGAATCATGAATCAAGCTCTGTTGTCCCCACCGTTGCTGAAGCATCATTGTTCTTTGGTTCACTGGGTTCAAGTAACTCTCTCCTTTGTCGTCCGCTGGGTCACATGCCCAGGTGCCTGTTCGTGCTTCTAGTGGTTGGTGGAGAAATGTTTGCAGACGAAACCTGTTTCGGCTTGGAAGGTGCCGAAAGCGAAGATGATGTGAAGGGACAGGTATTACTGGCATGATGAAACAAGCGCAAAAATACACACACTCAGAGAGGACACAGACAAGCGCTTATGACTGTCAGTTGGGCGTGTTGGTAAAGGTTCATGATGAAACAAGTGCAAAAATACACACACTCACAGAGGACACAAGCACCTGTCTGTGTCCTCTCTGAGTGTGTGTATTTTTGTGCTTGTTCCATCATAAACCTTTACCAACACGCCCAACTGCCAGTCATTCTTAATTACTGGCATTGCTGCTAAACGCATTCCCTTTCGTTGTGGCTAAGGTTGGTTTTATTAGTTTGTAGAGCATTTTTTAGTGTGTGTGGTGGGATATCTGTAAATATGAAAATGTACTGTCAAGTGTGAAATCGCTGTACAAATTCATGACTGCTGAGACAAATTCCCTCAACTATTGTGCTTCGTGAAAAAAAAAAGGCCCGAGGCAACCAGTGTTATTCACCGCTACCCCTGCCACATATCTGAATATGTGGACATTGGGTTGCCAAGCATAATTGCTTATTTGTACCATCGCGCAGAATGCTTCACTGAGCAGCTCGCCCATTTTCTCGTGAAAATGTTAAAGTAGTATTTTTTTATATTTAGATATAAATAATTGAAGACCCATACCTGAGAAACTTACCCCTTTAGGCAGCATGGACAAAGAGAAGTTTGCTGGTAAACATGGAAGCTGACCTTTTTCTTGCTCTGATCTTTTCCAGAGTCCTGTTCTTATCAAATAGGTTTCCTGGATACTGCCAGACAAAGAACATGTTGAAACGGGAAGGGGTGCGAACGAAGTGCCAGTAAAAAATAATACTGCACAGTATGGACGAAAACGACACTTTTGTGCAGACATTCCAGAGTCAAATATTGACTCGTATGCTCATCTCATTTCATGGTGCTTTTATATCTTGTATGATTTTATTAGCGTGATCATGTATGAAACAACTAGCACTTTCTAGTTTGATTCTGCAAGCAGGACTTCACATTCTTTTAGGTTACAAAATCCAGGTGCTCAGAGCCAAAGCGCTTTGGGCGTCTTTGTCAGTTTCATGTGCCTCAGCCAGCATGGGAGTGATGAGTAGTACACGGATTTATCTAAGCTTCTTTGCTCCATGTGGCTTGCGTACGGTTTGACACAAGACAAAGCTTAATGAACGTTTAGCAGTACTGTTTCACTACCTTGACCTTTCCAAGCTCACCAATCCAGATTGGCTTACAAGGTCGCAATGATCTAGTCTTTCATCCAAAACAAAAAGCCAAAGCACGATAAACAAAGCCACAAGTGTGTTCAATTAAGCAAATCTGTGTACTGCCCATAGTTGCTATGGTGGCTGAATGATTGCTGCGCCTTTTAATCCCTCTATTAAATATTGCAAGAAATTCTGTTGCTGCACCCTTGTTCCCTCTATTAAATATTGCAAGAAATTTTACGCTTTGACAAACTTGCTCTGGCTGGCTGATCGCCAGTGATCGCATCACACTGCCGTTAATTTAAAGTGGAGCCCTGTAGTGCGGGTGCAGATATTAGAGAGCTTTAGTTTAGCGCGTGCAACAGCTTTGCGAACGCAATGGGCGAGAGAGAGCAAGACTGCGCATGTGTTGAACCTAAGAGATGTGTGTGTTTGCGCACACAAGAGATGCGCAAGCTAGATCTGGGTGCTTACATTGCGCCCGCTACGGTCATTGCGTACCTTACTGGTGGCTGTTGTGAAAAATAGCTGCGTCCATCAGCTACTGCAGTTTATTTCTTCGCCTATAGATGGTGCAGAGCAGCACTCAAATTCAAGGCTGTTTACGCTAAAGCACACTCCAGGTTACGATTGTTGCATATGGTAAACTAACGCTGTGTTGTGCGCGCTGTCTAATGTGTAGACATTTCTATTGATTGTCCAAACTTTTGCTCATGTTGCAACTTCATATATGCTTTGGGGATTCGAATTGAGCACGACATGCAATATGAGCTAGGTGTACACGGGATAAATGCCAAATGCTTCTCCTCTCTGATATGGAAAATATTATTTTTGCATATGCTTTGTGAGCATCTTCTAAGTCATTAAAATTGAAAAGGAATGTCACCTTAGATCAGTAGATAGGAGAGAATCATTGTATGGCACAGTTGTGTGTTGTGCATTTTTAGCACTGCCCGACTAATACATTTGTGTTGAGGTGTCTCTTGAGAAATGGATACAGCTTGCAAAGTATGTAATTGCTAATGTTAAAGAGATACTGACAGATTTCACGACCGAAATAGTTTGGCGGGAATGATTCCTGTGAACATGCGTATATCATCCGCAGAATATCAAAAGCGAATATAGCTCGGAAGGCATTTCAAATTAGTTTTGAAGTGTGCGCGAGCGATCGACTCCGTCGTGCTGTCAACACCCTTAAAGGTGACCGTTCCTTGACCTGACCATGCTGCAACATGTTATGGTGACATCATAGCTGCCCCTTTTTTTTTTGCTGCATGTACACCAGTAGATTATAACCCGACAGCTGATCGCGAGTCCGTGGCCGGGGCGCACACATTGAAAGTTTTGTGTTTGACAACACTGCTGTCCAGTTTCCTGCTTGAAAGAACTTGATGCGGACCGTGCAGAAGTGCTTCGCAGTTCTGTGTGCTGACGTGTTTGTATGGTGCACATGCTATCGGTGGTGGTAGTTGTACCACTGATACATTTTTGGAGCTCTCAAACTGAGTGTGGTTGGTAATGAGGAGCCTGTCAATAATTATCTATCACACGCTGTAGCTGCGCCGTGTTATGACAAATAATTTTCGAGCAACACATTGAAACAAAAAAACACCAAGCCAAAATTGTTGTGTCAGTCTGCCTTTGTAAAGGGTATGCACCTTAAAAAGACACTAAAGAGAAAAAAACAACTTTTTCCTCATTAGCAAATAACTTCAACAATTCCAAAATCACTATGCTTGCTGCGAGAACACGATTGGTGAGTGAGAAAGTGTGCAAAAGAAAAATGCGGGTGGCGATGTCACTTTGACATTGTCGCACCAAATGTTGTGGCGTCACTTTTTGATGGCTTCCACTAGGTTCTCCGTAGTTCTTAATCATTATATATCCAGTACATTTTCCTCTGGGGGGCCATACACTTGACATTTCAAGTTCAAGAAATTTCTGTGACTTTAAGAAAATGTTTTCGTGTGAGCCAATGTTGCCAATTTAAAAAAAAAAATGTTCTGAAATTTGTGACATCACGAGTTGAGATTTTTGTGCGAAATTTAAAGAAGGAACTTTTACCTTGATTTTCTTTTTTTTTTAATTAGTAGCTGTATACTGACCACAAAACTCTAGACCTTGCTAACAAAGTGTTTCTACTAGCCTCTTTCAGGTGCCATTGCTCGCGCTAGCTATGAGGTTGGCATAGGTATGGCAGTTGCGTTTTAGTAACGTTAGATGGGCCTCTTCTGCCTTCATGATTGTATCCGGCTATCCCTATTCGGCATTTAACTCTAAAGACAAGATAAAAAGACAGAACACGAGATGTGTGGGTCTGTGTTGATCCGCGTTGCATTTTCAGTCTTCAAGATTAAAAATGTTGCTTAACATATTTCTTGCAAAGACAGGTATAGATAACGATAAATACTTCTTTCAACCTCACTACATCTTATTACGAATCGATCATACTAACAAGGTTGCAGAATACAAGTGCGAAACCGAGTCGTTGAGAAATGCTTTTTTTCCAAGCGCAATTTCGGAACGGAATTGCCTAACCAATGATGTTGCAACCACGAACTCTAACGCTGCCTTCTACGCCATGTCATGATGCTATGTGTCTATGTTGTCATCAAGAATATTGATTTTGTGTCCGATGCTTTTTAAAAACGATAGTTTTTCTTGGGGACCTTCAATGCAAAAATTTTGGTCTGTCTGTCTGTCTGTCTATCTGTACATTTGTCTGTTTGTCCACCCTTAACGGTACCGGGTACTCGAAACGGCAACAGTGCATACCCCAAACTACCCACCCCATCTGCAGCGCCCACCAATGTTGCTCAAGGTTCAGCATTCATACTTGTGCGATTGTCAAATTAAAATAAATTATTTAGCATATCTGAGGCACCATAACAACACGTATATATTCAGCATGTGCGTCTTCCACTATAAAAGGCATACAAAAGTATTTCTAAGGACGGTAGCGTTTATCACGTTGCGCTGACCATGCGACGCTTGCATAAAAAGGCGAGTGTTTTTATAGTTTCGCTAAGACGACACGATGGTGGCACCTACCTGTCGCCTTGTGTTCTATACCTTATCACCTCTGAGACGGACGCGCACGCCCGTCTCAGAGCCGCGCTTCGTTTTCCAAGAAATCTGCCAGATGACACTCATGTCTCACAGTGTGACATGACTTGATGGCCTTGTTCGCCTTCGCTGCACGCTCGAGGTGGTCTAATGCAGCAGCGCCTCCATAATACCATTCACCGATTTTCTTGCGCAAAACATCAAATAAATATTTTGTTCACTCTCTCAACATGCAAGGCTATCGTCTTTCAACGACATTTGCAGATTAACATGCAGATACGGGGCCAATTTTTTTGTGCATTCTACTTTCTTACTGTGCCTGATACCTGCAAATATGTCTTTACCGATCATGTACTGTGTAACCCCCCCCCCCCCTCCTCTGTAATGCCTTATGATGCTGAGGGTACTGTGATAAATAAGTAAATGATGTTTTGTTTATGGGCATGCGTGCATTTAAGTGTTTGCAGATATGTGGTGAACATGTTGCTTTGGTCGATTGTGCGTGCATGAATTGGCTCAAGGAGTGTATGCAGGCAAGACGTGCCGAGCTCTGTTGGCATTGCTGACTGCACTGTTGTTTGTGCAGGATGCAGAACGCATGCAGCAATTGAAGACCCAGGCTCAAGCCTGGCAGCAGGCACAGCAGCAGGCCTGGCTGGCCTGGTCTCAGCAGTGGGCCGGATGGACGTCTGCCTACGAGGCTGCCGCAGTCAATTCCCAGCAGGCCGCTGCTGCTGCACCCAAGGTCGGTGCAGGAAGAGATTTCTTTTTTTTTTTTCGCGAGTGCCAAATTGTTTGTATTATTCTTCCTGTTAAGCCCAAACACCAATCCTTGTAAAGGAAAATTAGGAGCGAATTGCATGCCTTAATTTTAGCCCTTGCATGCTTCTATCACCTACTGTGGCATGTTGGGAGGCTGTTGTGTTCTGCTGCTACGCTCAAAGTCGCGGGTTTGATTCCCATTTGCAGGGGCCACATTTCCGGTAGAGGGGAGGGGGGGGGGAGATATGAGAATACGCATGTAGTTAGATTTAGTTGCACAATCCCATGTGGTCAGAACCAAGCTGGGATTGCAGAACCAAGCTGGAGTCCCTTGTCTATGGCACTACCCCCCACACTGCCAGAATGGTGAAACTCTCCGAGGCACTTCATAACCACATTTTGAGGTCTGACCCAAGCAGCACTGTGGCCAAGGCCTGAACCTTGGAGTTCTTCACAATAACATCTACAGGGACATCTGGTGCCACCATCTGCACAATAATAGGGGTCCCGTTGCTGCGGTGGGAATGACTTATACGTATGTGTCTGTGGGGCTTGGGTCGGCCGGTGTTGGGTGAGGTTTCGGCTAAATAGAGGATGCGGTTACGCTAATAGATTTTTTTCCAAAACAACACATTTATAAGCGGATCTCATTCACTCGTATTCTATTCTAGAAGGAAAGTCTACTTACCTTCACAACGCACGAAGCAGACAACTAACTGTGGCACAGTGAATGCTGGCCTTGTCATCTGCCTTCCAAGTTTAGCGGCCTTTCTATACTTTTCACACGTCATAAAATTGTATGTACACGCACAAGTTTCCAAAGTTAAAGAAAACTCATTGTCGTGCAATGAGAAAAAGAAACTCATTTTCCTTGGAGGCGAAAATGCTGTAGGCCCGTGTGTTCAGGTTGACATTTTCGGAGCCCTCCACTACGGCGTCTCTCATAATCATATAGTGGTTTTGCGGTGTTAAACCCAACAAGTCAATCAATTCAATCAGACTTGAGCACTTTTCAGTTGACCTCAAGCCACAAGGAAATCCGTACAGATTCTTGGGAAAGAAAAGCTTCTTAGTTACCATAAAATTCGTCCTGTCCCGGGGATCGAACCCGGTACCAATGCCTTTCCAGGGCGGTCACCCAACCAATCGAGCTAACCAGAAAGCTAGCAAATGGCAGCACGAGGGCAAACTCATTGACAACTTGAAGCATGTGGACACAAATAATGCAAGTGAGTTCTATGGGTTAAGAAAGGGAAAATAGACAACCGACGAAGCTACAAGGAAATCTGTATGGATTTGCTTGTCGCTACGTATATATTTATTTGTGACTTTGTATAGGGAGACTGTGTATGTGTATACATATGTTACAAAAGTTCAGAGTAGGTTAAATACAATGGAACCCCTTTGATATAATCGACAATTTGGTTTGAGAGACACCAGTGAGCCTACATTAATATAGGGGTTGATACGAAGATGAAGAACATTTACCCTGCTTATGAAAGACACTTCATAAAAATGACAAGAATTACTCCCCGATGCATGTCTTATAAAAGGGTTTATCAGTAAATACAAGAATGGTACACTCCGTGTGCAATACATTTTATAAATAACGATACTACATCTGTTGAGCTAATATTTTCTATACACGTCAATGCTGCTTAGATAATTTAACATTCTAGGAATAAGTGGCACTTGGTCCCCATACTTTGTTCATTCATCTAGAGCAGTGGTTCTCAGCCATGGATGTGTCGGGGACATCTTGTGGACTGGTAGTGGAAGTGATGGGGAAACCCTTGCAGCAGGGAGGGGGGGACTGGAACGTCGGTAAATTAACACAGCTGGAGCGTGTAACAGGTGCCTTTTATTGCTACCAAAAACATCGAACAAACGTGCCACATCACATGATTTTGGACAGTTTATCAATATGTGGCACAGTCACGCCTAAAGAAAAATGCGGGTGCGGGTTCCGCAGATCATAGTTGTTTTGGGACCCCTGGTCCGCAGACCTTCACTTGAGAACCACTGATCTAAAGTACCTTGTGACATTTTACCATGATGCCTTGTGCACAAACCAGGCTGCACCAGTGCCACCAGCAGCACCAGTAGCAGCGGCACCAGCGGCGGTACCCCCGGCTGCGGTGCCGGTACCAGCTGCAGCGGCGGTACCAGCTGCAGTGACACCAGCGGCGGCGGCGCCTGTCACTGCTGCCCCTTCTGTGGACGCAGAGGATGCAGAGTTTGAGCGGCAGTTCAAGGAGTGGGAGAAGAGCTTCGAGAACTGGCTGACACAGAACCGGGAGCACCCGGACAAGGAGGCCTTTGCCCGCTACGAGAGCCAATGGAAGCAGTGGCGGCAGCAGCTTCTCGATCGCCGCCAGGAGATGCGCCAGATGAAGTCCACAGGTGGGCTTTTCATTTTGTGTGGCAGGGTTTACCGTAAAATAGGAGTACCGCATCATCATCACCATCATCGTCAGTTTATCTTATGTCCTTTGCAGCACAAAAGTATCTCCCAATGATCTTAAACCCTACATGCTGTGTGAAGCTGGATCCAATTTTATAGCTGCTAATTTATTTATTTTCTCACTCGTCTGATCCTTTGTTGTCTTCAGTTGCACTTTTAATTTCTTGGTATTTATTCTACTGCTCTTAATTGACTATTGGTTATCTTTTCTTCTCATGACATCACCTGCCTGGCTCCATTTTTCCTCCTATTATTTACCAAGATATTGGCTGCTCCTGTTTGTACTTTGGTCCACTCTTTTTTCCCATCTCGTAATGTTATGCCTATCGCTTTTTGTTTCATTTTGCACATTGTGGTCTTTCTTTTCTAGTTTCTTCAGTGTTCTCCAGTTAAGGGGAGACGCTACTCGGAAAATGATTTTCGTTAATAAGAGTCTGAATTGAACACAAATTAGCATGCTAAAAGAGGTTTTCTCCCCTTTTCAAATATGTCATTTATTTTCATGTAGCTAGTTTGGTTTGATTTCAGCAGCTCAGATACTGCGAAATTATCGCCGTTGTTATGCCATAATTCTGACCTATAAAGCTTGAGATAAAGCATGCAGATATAGCTGCCTATGATCCTTTGGAACTGTAGAGTGCAGAAAACTATACAAGTTTTATGTCTGGAAAGGTAAAATACAATAATAAAATAGAAAAAGCCACCATGGCTCTAGTTGCCAAGGGCTTTCAATGTTATTTAATATTTTGAAAAACATAACTAAGCAGCATTGGAAATAAGAATAAATATTTGAACTCTACAGGCCTTCATTATGTTATGTGCAAAATTTAGTAGAGTTGGGACAATTCTAAGTATACTAACTAGCGTGCATAAGCAGCACAAATCACACAAAACTGCAAAGGGAGAAAAATGCATTCGAAAGTTCAATAGTTGTCAGAAATGCATAATCTTTGGCCATAATGTTCAAGAGAACTTTGAGAAGCACTGCAAATTATTGGAACTGTCCTGCAGCATAGGCTGTGTCTTCACGGTCCTTGCGAGCACACTCTTCGAGCCGTACCCTTTTCATTCCACGGCGACGGTAAGCCCTTGCTTCTGCTGTCAAACGCCCGGACATCCTCTTGATGCGCTTCGCATCGCAGGAATCGCTGAAAGCAACTAGATCTCTAGATGAGACCATGTTCAGCTCTTCTAGGATGTGCTCGAAACTAGCATCACCCTTATTGAACCACAGGATTGCGATAGCTGCGCCAGTCTCAACAACTGTTCAGGAGACAAACTTGGTCTTGGGGCAAAGCAGCCATATCTTGCTGTTCAGGGATTCCTGCGCACTTTGGGTTTTCCCTTTAGGGGGGACGCGGGTCTTAGAAAAGTAAAAAATGGTCGAAAAATCGATTTTGAGAAAAACGCATTTTTCGAATCTTTGAACCTATAAGCACCTCTCCTCAAATTATTAACGCTAAATTCGATAAAAAAAATAGGTTAAAATCTATTTTCAAACTATCACGGGAGTCGCAAAACAACCCGCAAAACAGAAAATTTGTTCGAACTTCCTGCGCGCGCCGCCAGCGAAGCAGCCGGTGGATCGGCGCCATCTTGGGCTTGTTTTGAAGCTGGTTCCTTTGTGCGCGTTTTGCGGGCTCTCAAAATGGCGTAGCTCCAACACAACGACTGCCCTCCCCCGTTTTGCGAAGCCGTCTGCCGGACCGCTGATTGGCTAGAGCGCGCGCACGCCGGCGAGCCCCCCCGTCTCGCGCTTACCATTGGCTGGCGCGGCCATGGTTGCTCGCTCTTTTTTTTTTTGTTTTGTTCCGTCGGCGCCTGCTCTCGTGCGTGTTATCTCGTCTGCTACCCGCTCGTGTACCGACGTCGCCGACGTATACGTCTTTCTGCATTTCGCCGGCATGGCTTGGGAAGTTCGCCTGAAGAAGAACACTCGTCAAGCTTAAGGCAGGAAACGAAAGCGAGCGTGGAATGCGCGGCAGAAGGGAGCGGCCTGCGCGCCGCCGAGAACGCTGGAGATGGCCGAGGCAGCGCATTCTGACGACAACGGGCTGTCGGAAATGCCTGTTATTGCGGAGGCAGCACATTCAGACGACGATTCGCTGGCACGAATGCCTGCCGAAGCGGTGCACTCTATTCGGCCCAGCTGCATACAGCCCTGGCATGCTGCAGAATTGTAGGGATGTCTGGGACAAAAATGTGTGTTTTACTTGAAATAGTGTTTTATGTATAAAAGGGCGATGTTTTTATATATAACATGTGTCTTCCTTTGGTTTTCAGTGCACTAGAACAGCCACAAAGTTGTAGACTGGGTTCCTTATACTGATTCAACGGCCAGTACACAGTTTTTAAATGAGCTGTGGCAAATATTTTGGGAAGGTGCATTGACACATTTGGTACAGCCATACTCACTTAATGTAGAGCTATACAGCGGTGCCATTTTTATTGCTCTAGCTTCACTTTAGCAAAAGTTACAGTTATTAGAAACTTTAAATGAGTTTTTCTCAGTTCGATGTTTTTGTGCACCACACTAAACCTTAGGGGTTTTTCTTATATGTTACTGTTGATTGACAATGACAAACTTGGTATCATTTTATTTGTAATAACATTACCTATGGGATGATACTATTTTGATTACTCTAGAAGCATACTGTTAATTACAGTTATGGATAGTAATGAGCGAAAATTGAACAGAATATCTATTGTAAGTGCTGGTCTGTTTTCTTATCTATATAATGCCTAAAAATTAATAAAAATAGCATCACCCCATACAGAAAGCCCTCAGCATTGGGGCTAGGCATTTATTTTTTGGATCTGGCTTGATTAAGTTGCCAAAAAGCTCCCAATGAAGTGCATAAATAATTAAATTACAGATGTTAATATCTTTTTATCCACTGAAGCTATTTCAGAAACAATTACATATTTGAAATCAGCATGAAAAACTGTCCAAGATGGTGAGGTTTGGTCAAGATTGAGCCAAAAACGGAAAAAAATTTTAAAGACCCATGTCCCTCCTTAAATGCATCAAGCAAAGAGCTTCTCATCTGTCAGTCGCTTATAAACTGGCAGAACAGCCAATCCCTGGGTTTTCGTCAGAAGAACTGTGCGGCGTGGTGCAGGTTCGCCAAGTGTTTCAGCCCGTTTATGTTTGCACCACGAGTTTGTTCCTGCAGGGTAAAAGTTGTGACTGCCAGCATTGTCCGTAGAGCATGAGTAAAAGTATGAAGACCATACTGCGGTGTACATATCCCGTAGACTCCCCCTGTTGCTTGTTATGGCAATCTTTCGAAGGAGTACGGCCACTAGCGTGGGTCCGGTCTTAGCGAGTCGCAGGGCACGCGTTAACCGTTGCCATGGCGAGAACACAGTACTGCTCAAGGTCACAACACTTTATTGTCTGTGGCAACACCAAAACGCAGTACAGCCCGTTGCAAATGCGCGGCGGGAAAGCAAATGGGCTTATCCACGCCACAGGCGAAAAGTACTACACAGGGTGCCACGAGCACGTCTCCGTGGTAAAAGTGATTCATGGAGGCATCGGGACCAAGGGCCGGTTGCTTGAGCAAGGGCAAAGGCGCTCGCGTTGGCTTCGAAAGGAGACGGGTCGGCGTAGTTTGGCCATGCACTAGGACACCGCATTCGACAGGGAGGGGGCGACATAAAGTAAGCGCTCGCCGCGGGCGCAAGGCGCTGTTGGCAAAGTCCGAACGAGCCCCAACTGGAGCTGACAGACGGGGAAAAAAAAAAGCGTGCTTACCCCCATGTCGACCCCGGAGAGGTCTCTGACTCACTCCCGTTGCACGCAGCGCTAAACCTCTCGGGAGACTGCGCGCGGCGCCACAGTCGACATCCGCTACCGGGTGAGAGGGGTCTTTGCTTTCCCAGCACGGCAGACAGCGGAGGAGGGGAGTCCTGTCGGGACATGAGAACGGCAGAAAAGGCGGCAAAGCCTGCGCAAAGGCAGCGGGCTAGCCTCAATTCCCCCAATGGCCGGCTCTTTTATTTTCTGCCCTCACCCCGCGGCGGTGGTCTAGTGGCTAAGATACTCGGCTGCTGACCCGCAGGTCGCGGGATCGAATCCCAGCTGCGGCGGCTGCATTTCCGATGCAGGCGGAAATGTTGTAGGCCCGTGTGCTCAGATTTGGGTGTTCGTTAAAGAACTCCAGGTGGTCGAAATTTCCGGAGCCCTCCACTACGGTGCCCCGCCGCGGTGGTCTAGTGGCTAAGGTACTCGGCTGCTGACCCGCAGGTCGCGGGTTCGATTCCCGGCTGCGGCGGCTGCATTTTCGATGGAGGCGGAAATGTTGTAGGCCCGTGTACTCAGATTTGGGTGCACGTTAAAGAACCCCAGGTGGTCGAAATTTCCGTAGCCCTCCACTACGGTGTCTCTCATAATCATATGATGGTTTTGGGACGTTAAACCCCACATATCAATCAATCATTTTCTGCCCTCGTGGTAATCGCACGTGAAGCTTCCGTAGCGCAGTGCCAAGTCTTTTGGCCACATGGTTAGTGCAGTCTTCTTTTTCTATATTGAGAGCCCCATAGACTTTTGACTCGGCAACTGCGCTATATGCTTTGCTGTCACCGTCACTCAAGAACTTCATGAAGCGCAGTGGAGTTTCGTAACTCAACGTTCTCCGCCAAATGCGCATTGCAGCCTGTGTTTCCATGGCATGGGAGGAACAGTGCATTTTTTTCTCACTGGTCCATCGTCAGGGCCCACATCTTTGTGTCTACTGCATGTCAGGCAGAAATTTGAAATGACCTCAAAGTCCAAGCAGAGGCCAATATCTAAGGAGATAGCTATGCCGATAACATTGTGGCTTTTGTGGCCCCTCTTCTGCAGAGTCCCATCGAACATGACAGCCATACAGTAAAAGCTCGTAAATTTGACACCCGTTAATTTGGAAATTCGGATAATTCGGACGGCTCT